ACAAACATTGGACTTACGAAATTTCAGAGATGCGAACAAACCTGTTCATATGTCCAGTTGCCTGTTCAGACCGAGAGTTGTAAATTCAACCGCCACATAGATGGCGGTGGTGGCATCTACATATACACAATGTGAAGAACCAGTGGCATCTACATCTGCAGAACGTGAAGAACCAGTGACATCTACATATGCAGAACGTGAAGAACCAGTGACATCTACATCTGCAGAACGTGAAGAACCAGTGGAATCTACATATGCAGAACGTGAAGAACCAGTAGCATCTACATCTGCAGAACGTGAAGAACCAGTGGCATCTACATATACACAATGTGAAGAACCAGTGACATCTACATCTGCAGAACGTGAAGAACCAGTGGAATCTACATATGCAGAACGTGAAGAACTAGTGGCATCTACATATGCAGAACGTGAAGAACCAGTAGCATCTACATCTGCAGGAGATTATACAACTTTTAAAGCCATTCCACGTGTTGAGCTGGGTTTGGAATCGACAGGGGTAAATTTGGATTTACGAACAAATCAACTTCCGAACAGGCCTATGGAACCTAACTCGTTCATAAGTATGCGAATATACGCGAGATTAAGAGTACGTGACTTTATGGGAAAAGGTCAAATTTGTAAAGCATCAAGAAAAAATGAGTCACCATACAATCACGCACCCAATGTTTCTCTCGCTCTGTGTTTCTACGTCTATTTGTGTATGTCTCAGTGTCTGCCTTAGTATTTATGTGTCACTATGTCTCTGTCATCTTGCAATCTCCGTGTATCTTTCTGTCTCTCTGCGTCCTGGTATATTTCTCTGTCTGTGTTTTTCTGTGTCTTTCACTGTCTCCATTTCTCTGCGTGTCTTGCTGTTTCCCTCTCTGTTTCTCGGTCTTTCACTTTGTCTCCCTGTGTCAAGTGCTGTGCTTGTATGGATGCCACTCTTGTTGCTTCCTCCTTTCTCCTTCCGTGGGATCTACTTTACAAGGTGAAATGCTCACGGTAATGGACCGATAATGATTAAATGATGACAACATTGCTGTTGTTAGTGTTGCGTGATCTCGTACTGAGTGGTCTCCAGACTCTCGCTCCTGCCCGGCTACAGAGACGTGGCCTTCACACATCACATTCAAGCAAATGTATTTTCTCAGAGCTGAAATCTAGCCAAAATAAGTGAAAGCCAGAGTATAAATCGTTGTTGTGCCGTTGTTCGTGATCAGGTTGAAACGATTAACACAAAACACTTGAGAACCCAGCTTGTCATGGTTGGCTGAAACTTTGGCTTCAAACCCAGGATTTAAAACAATTAAATATACATTTCTCAGCGCAGGGATGTTAGATGATTCAAACTGCATCTGTCGTATGTTAAACTAAGTTGCCTCATGTCCTATCCCATGTGGAAGGCGACCTGCTGTTCCGGAGCCACATGTGGCTCTTTAACGACTGCTTCGTGACGTTATTCACGTGTCCTGCGGCTCTTAAAATACTGATTCCGACAAACGTCTCTTATTATTTTGATTGCCGACCCCTGTCCAATCCCCTCGGCTCGACAACCTCCACATAGAACTGATAGTTTGTATTCTTCCTGCTTAACATACGTGGCTTTTTACCTAATTTCAACCCTTAACGTTTATTTTACACGATTGTCATTTTCAAGTTTTCGTGTTTTCAGGTGACGTGGCAGGCTTCAGCGTGTCCTCCGACACAGTACCGCACGGACACCGGCTCGTGCTGCCAGCTGTGCAGTGCAGGTACCGTTCATGTGGAAACACAACATCATTTACCTCTGCTGCAACACTAGTCATTGTCAATAACCCCCTCCCACCCCCCCCCCCCCCCCCCCCCCCAAAAACGTTTCAAGATTCTAGCTCCTCGAAGTAGCGTATCTGAGCTGAACGGTGAGTTAAGTGGGCCCCCAGAGGATGGCCCAGCCACGAGTCAACAAGATTCAACGCAGGCGGTGAGCTGGCACGGCCGCGAGTGGGCATCGCAACAGCCCAGCACTCACCGATGCATTCCGAATGCGATTCCGCTGTCCTATTGCACTCGACAGTTATTTATCAGTCGCCCGCTGCTCAAGTCGCCTCGAATTACAAAATTCCAACGTTTTGGGACCCGATCTCCTCTGAGAGCGTACGCAACGTGATCGCAAAAAAAGGGGGATAGGACAAGAAATGTAGTACAAAATATGTAACAGTGCACAAACACAATGCAAAGAGACGAGTTCATTTGCCGCTGCCGCTACTGTATGCACGTATGTGGAACTTCTTTCGCACCGTACGTAGCCAAGCATTGTAATCGTAGGTGCGGGGGGAGGACAACAAACTAAACACAAAAAGCAGGTCTAAATAAGTGAGTTTGAAATCTAAATTTAAAAGTGCATAGCTCCAGTGGCTTCCTAATATCGAAAAGAAGAGCGTTCCAGACGTCCTCAGAAGCGCATCTGTAAGCGCGCGATGTAGTGACCTTCTTTGTTCGATGGCTCGCGTATTACTTTATTACTATTACTGCTATTACAACTCTTAATGCTCCTACAAAGGCTGCCGCTACTATTACTGCTACAGCTAGGAGATATATATTTTATATCAATGGCATTTTATCTCAATATTCGCCTGGATGAACTGTTCTATTCTAGAACTTTACATGTAAACAGAAAACTGACAGAGAAATCATTGACCTCTCTGCTGCCTATGACACTGTTTTGCATCATCATGGCCTGTTGATGAAGTTGGCCAAAACCATCAAATGCCATTCTACTGTTCACCGAATCGACGTGATGCTCAGTAACCTTACGTTCAAGGGACATTTCGTTGGTAAACACAACATCGTGAGAACTATGAGCAATAGCCTGGGGAAGGCTACGTCCTTGCACCATCACAATGTAACAAGTACAAGTGGTCTGCCGTGTAGATCGTCTCGCAAGTCAAGAATACACGCCTCGTTCAAGACCCAAACATCGCACCTCTTGGCTTTGACATTCCTCGAAGACTCTGGTGTAACCATCGACCTGATAAGAACATCAACAGGCCGATGCATGCATCTCCTTCATTAATTCAAGACAAGCCACAGTCAGGGGCGGAGCCAGGATTTCAGGCCGGGGTGACATTCAACAAATTTTAATTTCAAGAATGATTAGAGAGTCAGGCTGTTGAACTAGACGCCATCGGTTGGCGACACACTCTGACAATGCAGTTGCACGGAGTCCGCCAGACAGCGTGTCGTACACTTATACTCAGAATGTCACCTCTCTCACCCCCCCTGGCTCCGCCCCTGGCCACAGTGATGTGAATTTGGCCACGGAACCCAAACTATGGACCATATAGTGAACCACTGCATGCACAATCCCACGTTTGTTGTCCTTGCGAAAGAAGTTCACCATACATATATACGTATCAAAAGCTTAAATATGGATACAGTATTAATTGATTAATCGATGCCTTGATTCAACCTGTAATACACAGTCATTGTTGGAGTGTTAATTGCAGTTCTGCTGTGACGCAACTGCGTCAGCAGTTCTCCTGCTGTGTTTGTCTCGCCTGATGACGGTTGCTTGTGTTGCGATCGAAACGTCGTGATCTATTAATTTTCTATCTACGTGACTTTACCGAAAGAACCAAAGAGTATGGATTCCTGCAGGCACGAAAGCTTCAAATCAAGATGTGAATTGCTTGTTCGTATTTGTCATGTGGGGCAGGAACATTCAAGGCTGCCGACTGCACGGTTGACGGTGGAGCTCCCGTCTGCTCGTCGTGTGAAGAGAACTTCTACACTGACATGGCCAATCACGACGAGGCGTGCAGCATCTGCAGTCTCTGCCCCACAAGTACTCGGCCGCACTTGTACATTGAGTTCCCCGTGTCCTACAACCAATGGGTGGTCGCTCCTTTCCCACTCGCAATCGTGCCACGGTGATGAGACGTTAACTACCTCCGCCGGTATACAGGAGGTCGCGTGGATTTTTCTCTGGGTTCTCTGGTTGGATTTTTCGCCTCCACATTTAGAAACATCCGTGTAGAGTATGTCTGGCTGCTATAAATTTCGACGTGATAAGCGACTTCATTGGGCCATTAATTGTGACCAGGTCGCTTCTGAAAAAGAGCTATATACCTCGATGGGCTTACCTGGTAAAATCAAAAGTTTAGTTTAAGATTAGTTTATCTTTAATGTATAGTCGAGTTTATTGTTTAGTTTACTCATTCCCACTGTTGGGGCCTCCCTTCCTCTGGCCATCTACATCGCTGACTCAATCTCTCTTCTCATATCCAGAATCGTCCTCTTCTGCTCTTTCCATGACTGACCATTTCCATCCGTCCACATATATTGATTATCGCTGTACTTATATTTCCCAGCACCCTGCTTTACCCAACTTTCTTACTTCACATCTGCAGACAATCCTTCATCAATCCCATTGATTCTTAAAACGCATTTTTTTGGACAGGATCTTGAGTTGCATTTGCATTCTCTATCAATCCAAATCGTATCGTATTGCTATAAAACACTACGATGATAATGACGATGAGCATCACTATAATGTTAACCGATCCATCGTTACTCCCCTAGTATACGCTGAACAACAGTCAATCATTCTCAATTTATCCGTGCGTGCAGATGAGGTGGTGGAACAAGGGTGCACATCCTCGACAGACACAGTTTGCAAGTGTGCCGATGGCTATCGCGAAGCTGAATTTGTCTGTGAGCTCGCAGGTAAGCTCAATTTTGGATAGAGGAACACTCGGCATTAAAACTTCAGGCCATCCTTACTGAGGGGTTATCGTTTGGACTCGGATCGGATGCTGGGTGCTTTACACAACGGACTTTCCTTGGCCAACAGAATTGTCTCGGATTCAATAACAGTCGAGCCGTGTACAGGAACCTCCAGGTGATCGGGGCCTGCTCTAACGGTGCTGCAGTGGTGCCTGGCTAACCCAGAGCCAGTTCGAGCCGTGACCGGGACTGCTGGGGCGGTGTTTTTGTGCGATGTGATCATCAGCACGGTTGGGGTGGATGAATGTTGATGTTGGATTGGGACCGGTCATAAAATCCTGTTGCGTCTGGTTTCACTATGAGAACCGATGGTGTTTTGGATTTTAGGTGCCCTCACACAGCTGGAGGTTGCGAAAAAGCCTGTCGTTTGCTGTCTCACCTGGTTGCTTTTTTGTTTCATTGTTATTATTGTATAATTGTTTCCCCATGTCTCACGTTTCGTGAATTGTGACAGCACTGTTGTACGATTTGTACGTAAGCACTTCATAATTCACAATTCCTATCCTTGGATGTACGAGCGTAAACATTACCTGGATGTGTGGAATACAGGGGCGGGAGAGACAGCGTTGCTTGGAGCAGAGGAAACCTGTGTCTTGTTCGGTGTTTGTGTGCACGCAGACGACGGGGACAACTACTTCATGGTGCTGGTGCTCGTGATAGTGGGCATTGCTGTGCTCGCAAGCAGTGCAGCCGTGCTCTACATCTGTAGAAAGAGGAACGGGCAGTGTGTGTGCGGTAAGCGTGACCTCTTGCAACTTCAAGAATACACCCAAACAAAATACTAGCATCTCTTATCCTGCAGACACGTGCCTACGATGTGGCAAGGTGATTCATGGGTCAGAGAACTCAGCTAACCTTGCTAGGGTTGTGGGTTTAAAAAAAAACTATCTAAAGTTTAAGATAAATTTAAATATTTAAAATTATGGATTTGAATACAAATTTCAGCCGCCCGTGGTTAAAAATGGTTCTTATGTGCAGCAACTTCACTACTGCTAATTTTGAGAATTAAAAATATCAGTTTGAGTGTCATGTGACCAAAATTACTCTCAGTGGCAGGGCAGGTGGAAAGGTGTTGTCCTCTATTATGTGTACCAGATGTCACTTGCAGGGATGAACTTGCATTTATATTGTGTTCTATCACGTAACAAAACATCTTAGAGCGTAGGATCTCAGCGGTAACTCTGCGATATCTGCTTCCGTGGGCCGTTCTCTCACAAAACCGTAACAGTGAATCATTACAAGTGTGAGCCCACGAATTGTTACAACCCATATACGGCATACATAGGGGATATGCGTACGTGTTTACAAGCGTGCATGCGCGTGTAGGTGCATGTTGGTTCATGTGTTTGTTTCTTTAGGTAAAACACCCTCGCAACCTCCTGTAAAGAACCAAGTGGAGATTGATGATCCCGAGAGAAGAGTGTTTGTCCGAAGCTTCGACGACTCGGATTTGAACTTCACCATGGAAGCTGACAAAGACGACGTCTCCCTCACTTTGACTGAAGACCGAGTGGTAGGCGAACTCGCATCAATAGTACCAGCACTGTTTGACTTTGCATGAAGTGGCACTGAATATTTCAACCCCGGAGAGAACACGACGCTAAGTCTGGCCTTCAGACTTTGCATCGAAGTTGCATGGTTGTGATTACGAGACGAGTGCTTTAACCACATGGCCACAGTGATTACGGTGATAAAGATGTTATTTCTAATTATGATATAGATGACAATTGTTACGACCATGATGTCTATGGTAATGAATTATATGTTCTTGATGATATTTTTAATAAACGATCTCGACGTTGATCGGATTCGTTATAATTCCTGCTATGGATAATAATGACCGTGGAAATGTTAAGGATAATGGTATTGTTTTACAATAATCGTATTGTGTTCACCGACAGTGTCTTAATGATATTGATGACATTGACAGTGATCGTTACGACCATTATTTTATATTCACAATGACGATCGTAACAACTGTTATATATTATGAACTTGATGATTAAATTATTATCGATCTCAATGTTGACTTTATTATTTTTTATTGAAATAATGACCATGTTATTAATAATATTTTTTACGAAGATATTGACAATTTTCTACACATAGCGCCATTTACTCTGGGGCGTCTCAAGGGCGCGTTACACGGGAGATAACATTTGAAAGGGATACTCCCCCAGTGGCAGCTGTCCCTGTGGGGCACACAGTGACTGCACCTGGCATAATACATGTGACATTAGTCGAGCACGGGGGACGGGGGGGTGGTGGTGTTCATTGCTACGTGTAATCCCAATGATGTAATTTGCGGGCAATTGAACAATACCGCGCTCCACTTTGTGCACAGTCCCTGACCCCCAGCATGGGCATCTCCACTCTGCGGAGGAGCATCAGCACCCGCATCAGGGAGAAGAAGGCGGAGGAGATCGCCATGGGCACGGTGTGGGAGGCGATGGACCGCAACATGTCCGAGCTCAGGCGGCTGATCTGCAGCGACCCCCCGTGCCTCCTCAACGAGCTGCTGAGCCGCAAGCTCATCTCGCACCAGGTGCACAGGAAGGCGGCCTCCATCAGCGACCGCACGGAGCGCTCCGAGTATCTGCTGCGACGCTTCGTGGACGGCGGCGGGGACGCGTGCCTGCGTTTCATGGCCGTCTTCGCGATCGCAAAGGAAAACTCCGCGCGATTCCGCGTCATGATGGCCACCTCGCGTGAGTCTCCTCCATATATTAGTTTGGCCACGTGAAAAAAAGTGAAAGTATTTTTTTGGTTTACACAACCCAATGGCCCGTGAGCCTTCGAGAAGTGCATCATTTCAGCAGCACAGCTTCAATACAAGCAAACTAATGGTTAACTACTGGTTAGCTTCTCCAAGTCATTCTTAGTAATGTTCTTACAATCAACAATGAGACAACTGTGGTTTGACATCGTTTATCTCAACTAAGTGCTGCAGAAGTCATAACAGCAACTGGTGACACTGGCGGTGAAAGCCGCAACGACAACGTCAAGTGATAACAGCAATTATCACAACCGAAGTCGCTAAATAACATCAGTAGTAAGCGGACCCATGTCTCTTCGGTCAGGGTCAGAGGACCTACGGGCAATCTAGCGATGTCCCGAACCGCCTCCATACAGATGTCGGCAAATCTCTCCACCAGGCCCAAGAAAACAAACTTGCGTGTGCGGTGAAGGGAATACGTTGCCTCACTCGCCCGCTCCAGTGTCGTCCGTTAGAGGAGCCGTGCACAGCCAACAATTGAAGCGCCGTGAACGTGCACGGGCACGCGCCCACAAATGTTCGCCGATGCTCTAAGTTTGTACGATGGACGCGAAATGAATGAACAGTCCCAAGGCAACTGCTGAGACTAACTCGCGCGAGCGTCTTGTTCATTGCAGGAAGGTGTTCACCTACCGTGGACGCGAACTCCGCCTCCAAGTGGCTCCGCGTGTCCCATGATCACAAGACGGTCACCTACAGCTGGGACGCGCAGAACTTGGCAGCCCATCCCGCGCGCTTCGACGGAGTGTGCACGCAAGCGCTGTGCTCCGAGAACTTCCCGTCGGGCCGCCACTACTGGGAGGTGGACGTCGAGTCCGCGTCGTTCTGCCGCATCGGCGTGGCCTACGGGACGATCCCGCGGCGAGCGGAGGGTCGCACCGGTCTCCTCGGCGAGAACGACGCGTCGTGGTGCGTGAGGAAGTGCAACTCCGAGTACACCGCGTTCCACGCAGGCGTGGAGTCGCCCGTGTCTGTCCCAGTTCCCATGCGGAGGGTCGTGGTTCACGTTGACTGCGACACGGGGATGGTGTCGTTTTTCTGTGGCGAAACCTTGGCTCTCCTGCACTCGTTTCAGCACTCGTTTACGCAGCCCCTCTACCCGGGGTTGTACCTGAATAAGACCGGATCTGTGTCCATATGTGCGGCTTAACCATGGCTGTAGGTAAACGTGTACGTATGGATTGTGGAATTTGGTACAAACTTCGAGAATTTGATGTGAGCTTTAAGATACATTGAAAACAAACCTATAAGGTTCACTTCAAAGGTTTACATAATTAATGACATTTGTAAGAATTTACTTTAAGTTTGTAACATGGGTCCCCTTTATAGCAGCCTCCTTCCATACCAGTGCACTAACTATTAGCGATTACACAGCTTCTGGAATCAAATCACAAAGTATTCAGATGGAAAGTCAATCACATTTTCTTCAATATCCTCGGTGTCTTCAAAATAAGTTGCTCTCAAAGTGAGCTTCATGCGTAAAATCTTATCCATCGGCTGCTGTCATACAGCAAGAGATTTGGAGGGCGATTTCCTCAGTTTAATACTACATTTTATATTCCACTACTCTCCCCATGATGATTAATTCATGTGGTGCAAAAGTCATACTCACAGGGTCTGCTTGTGTGATTGGCCCTGTTGAATCACATGACTGCAGGACCACAACATTTAGTAGAGGGTAATAATGATCAAATGTATCATTTCTATGATACCTTCAACTGCAGTAAAATCACTGCTGTAACCTTTTAAGTGGACATAACATACTCAATGAAACTCCCAATTATCTGTATACATTCTCAATTTAATCCATGGAAAGCCTCGTCTCCCTGTGACAATTTCGTCCTATTCAAGCCTTTGCGTGGATAAGAGTGACACAGTTGTGGCAGGTTAATCATATTAGCTTACATCATGGGACCTCCTTTGCCAGTACCAAAATATGAGCATGGGTTTTCCCCCTTTTATTTGGCAACAAAACAGGTGTTAAGTTGTTAAAACACCAAACTGAAACCTTTTACAAGGAATCATGTCTGTATTAACACAATACTTGTGGTCAAAATGCAAACAAAAAACATACTCTGGTGTGGACCAATCAGTTTCAAAGACAATGCATATATTCTCAGAGTATTTTTTTTGTTTGCATTCTGACCACAAGTATTGTGGTTAATGCAGACATGATTCCTTGTAAAAGGTTTCAGTTTGGTGTTTTAAAAACTTAACACCTGTTTTGTTGCCAGATAAAAGAAGAAACCCCTATTCTCATATTCGCCTTGTTTATCTGCACTTTACCGCTTGCATGGAAGAATATTTAACTGGATCGACACATGTGATTGCGTCTACTAATAGCACCCCACAATGAGATCAGATGAGGAGTTTTACCATAGATTTACACTCCAGTCACCCACAGATTCATTACTCATGCAAGTCGTTTTCTGTGCATATTAGGAATTATGCTTGTCAATAGTATAAATGTTAAAATGGTAAGTTTCAAAAGTGACTGAGCAGTGCGGTACAAAAATAAATAAAATTACTCACCACTTTTATCATTACATTTAAATTAATTTATGAATCAATGTTCGGTTGTTTAAATATGTACCGCTCAACGTCACCTCATGGAAACACCTCACTTGTTGATTCAAGTTTATTCCAATTAAAACTTTCTTCAGAATGTCCGCATTTCAATTAGAGGTGTGAAAATGCAACAAGTCATCAATGAATATCAATTATTAAGCTCGCAACATATGTCGTCAACCCTCCTTCCACCTGACGCAGACAATTAATAAAAGTATCAATTGGAATCAAACGTGCCAAATATACAATAGCACTACAGTACTTAAGCACTACCGGTGTGTTGGAGAATAATCTCACAACATTGAAATGGTCCGGTCACGTTTTCGTTGGAGATTACATCCGGCATCGTCACGTTTTGAACTGGACCCCAGATCTCGATCCGAGTCCTAAAGTAGATGTCATGAGTGCATTGCCACGACAATGCACGTGGAATGTCATTTTAATAATTAGTCAATTGCTAGTCGATTGGTTATGGCTGGCATGTGAGGTTAATGTATTTCCGTGCATATACTGTATTTAGCGATTGGTTAAAATAAGACTATCCTTAATTATGTTAAGGTGTATTGTGTTCGTAATGAAACTGGAATTTTAATGCTATTGTGATTCTATTTAAGCATTCACCGGATTTTGTCATAAGGGTGATAGAAGAGGTTCAGATCGGTATTTTGAATTAAGTGTTATTTTGTTATTTAATACAGCCAATTACATTTACGTGTCATCAAGATTATTTATTATAATTTGTTTCCAGGCCACACTCACTTTAAAGCCATTTGCTCGGATACATGTATTGTTTTTTTTCTCAATCTCTATTGATTCTCTAATTAATCTTCGGCAGTAATGATTAGCTTTACTTAGGACTTTAACTTTATCGAATTAAATTGTGATCCCTTCCTAACATGCGTATCTGCAACCGTAAATAATTGAGTGTGAGTATTTAATGTCTGTGTTGCTCTACAAGTCGTGGACTAATGTTTGCGACTCGTCTCGCCAATGTAACATTTGCCGCAAGTACACAATCTGAATATCATTTATGGTACAAGGCACTGACGAAGGTGGTGACTTTTTTTTATATATACAATAAGGATTTAATGTACAGGTATGTTATTCATTCCATTGGAACGTGTTTAAAATTCAAGGGTATCCTCGTGACCGGTTGAGCTAAATGCACCCGGACACGACAGGTTGGGGTGGACGGGGCATGGAATTAAATCAGTCCTTGTGCATGAAATCACGAATCGTTTGTGTTCGATTAATGTTGTAATCGGTTCACGTGAAATCCTGTAGCCGCTAGGAGGTGCTACACGCACCGCAGCGAGAAATACATTTCATTCATAAATCTAATGGCGATCGCGGGTCATAGAACCGCTGAGGACGGGAGGCTGTTATTTGTTGTTCAGTGTTGTGGCTACCTGGCTCACACACACATGACACGGAACAACACAGTATCCGGACTCTTTCCGGTTTCTATCCTGAAAAGATCTGCCGATTCATAGACTGTCTCGCCAGGGAAACTTCAATGATGCAATTAGTGTTACCTCATTGTAACGATGCAATTATTAATTGATTATTATCGATTCTTCTGCTCACAATATATGGCTAGATTTGGATGTGTAAGAACTGATATTTGTTTTCATACATGTACGTAATCTAATTTCTAGATTTGAAGCTTTCGTGACTGCAAGGATTCATACTCTTTGGTTTTTTTCGGTAAAGTCACGTAGGTAAAATGAAATAAAACAACTAATTTAAATGACTTTTATTTTACCTACGTGACTTTAACGAAAAAAACAAAGAGTATATAAGTAATCTGTTCACGTGACTCGTCCAGCTTCTTGTGGCCAGACTTCACCGGCATAAAAAATATATATTCCTCCATTCCCATTAATTAAAACATCAATTAAAGATATTTTAACTTCAAGTACCTTTTGGAGCAGGCGATGCAACTGTTGTATTCTCGCGTGATTTTTTTTTTAATAAAATGTTAAACGAAACGAAAGATAATATATCTCAGAGAGCTGTGGAAACAACAGCGCCGACTTCATTCAATGCATAAAGATTGCGTCGTCAAAAACCTGATCGGTTGGTTTCACTCCAAGTGTGACCAGCGCCAGAACATGAGGCCTTCAGGGTAGAGGCCAAGTTCTCCACAGAACCAGTATTTAAAGGTTTCCTGTTGCCCTGTCATTGAAAATCAACCAGGAACCCGTGGCATGAGCTTCAAATCAGGAGCAAGTGTCATCATTGGGACGCTTCTAATTAGAGTAATGAAATGCAAATCCATATTATTCCTTCGTCCTTAAAGAAAATAAATCGTCAATTAAATGCATTTAAAAACCGCCCAAACTATACCAAATTACGAAAATACTCAATTGTATAGTGTATGCCTCAAGTTATCCTGACTTATGTTTCCCTCGTTCTCTTACAACCTTTCATGAGAGACCAACTTCAACGTGAAAATGTTGGCTGGCGAAAACTAAAATCAGGAGTGGATATAATTATCCGAGTCAGTTATTTTCAATACGTATAACATCCAGCCCGTGACTTCACATGCTATCCCATTTCGAAACAACCGTCACAAAGTCACGGCGACAATATTGGTCACATTATTCTAAACCTGGCACACTCGGTCACCCACTGGACTACACGGCTCTTTTTCAGAAGCCACCTGGCCACAAATGATCACCCAACGAAGTGGCCTATCACGTGGAAATTTATAGCAGCCAAAAAACTCAAGGCATGTTTCTAAATGTGGAGGGAAACACCAGAGTTCCCGGAGAAAAATCCACGCGATCACTGGGGAGAGAGAGAGACGAAGACAGGGGTCAGAGGTCGAGGTATCGAACCCACCTCCTCCTGCACACGAGGCGAGGGAGTTACTATCTCGCCACCGCACCAACCTTGAATGACGCCAAGGTGCGTGCTAACGTGTGGTTGCTCACCCAATGCACTTAAAAGTCCCCTGTGCCTCTCGGCCCGTGAGCTGACCCCCCCGCCCCGCCGCCCCCTTGCTCCAGAGTTGCTGCTGATGGATGCACATACTAGCCCTTGACTCTCACTGTAGTCGGGAGTGCTTTTATAAAGATCTCAAATCGTGAGTCCCTCACCCGAGTTCATTACGGTGCCCATTCTACTACTCAAACCACGACAATAGACCACGGAGTCCATTTAATTTGCCGTTTTAATTACCTCTCGTGAGTTTGACCATCGACGTGTATTCGTTTCAATAAAAAAACGGAAGGCAATACAGTATTCAATGTCATCTATATTGTGCGACCAGCCATATATAAATGGTGAAGAATCTTGTAAAACCAGCGTGTTGAAGATGGGGTTGGTGCATCACGCAATGACCAGCATGTGCTATAGGCCGCAGGGTGCCAGAAGGGAATACACAAATGTCGATGTTAAGGGTGCGTGGGGGTAAACTCCTTGACTCCAATTTGTATACCGTAATGCATATAATCTTTACTTTTCCAGAAAAGCCTCGCAGTCTCAAGATTTCGAGGAGGGCTCCTGCATTGGGATGTTTGACCACTTCCATTCATGTTTTGTTTGTGGAAACCAGGCTACCTCGAGAGAACATCCACACATGGAGGGAATAACGCTTGAAGCTCTACGGATTCATTGCTATTGCACTGCCATCTGCTGGCCGCCTTTATGAATTTGCAAAATATCCATTGCAAGGCCTTACTACGAAAGTCGTAGGGCTCGTCAGACTTTCCTGTATGAATAAATTATTAGAAACCGTTCTATCTTTGTGCTCTTCTTGCCTTGATTACTTACCATCAGCGTAAGTGAAGACATGTGAATGTATCTCTTCACAGGAATGATCTCCCGCACACCTGGCAGTCAAGGCGTTTCAGTCAAGTCATTGTCTACTCAAGTGAGCTGGGTGTGGTACATCCATTTATAGCCATATAGTCCCTGCTGTAAAGTCCACATTCCCATGGTGGAGGCCATCGAGTTCATAGTATAACCACTTGATTTACCAGGGTTTCCAAAAGCCAATGTGTCTTCCTGTTCAAATGAGTGAGAGGCCTTGTCATTGTTTATGACCCCGAGGCAAGTGTGAACATTCCACATACCTATGGTAGGGGGCCAGTCTATATACACAACCATTTTTGTGTTCTGGCAATGTTACCAAAATTGTAAACCCTATAAACTAAGCTAGTTGTAACTAGTTGTAAGTAATTGAAGCTAGTTGTAATTGCTGGCGAAACGTTGTACTCAGTTTGTAAATGTTGTGACTTGGCTCTCCAACACACTGGTGTGCTGTACAATTGACGAATTGGCACGTTCTGTTTACGTGACAACCCTTACTAGTTGGCTGTGTCGGTTGGTGGCGGGTTTTAACGACATATTTATATATTTACGCGATGTAACCCAAAAAAACCTCGATTATTGAATGACATTGGTCGCGAAAGCCTACGTGTTAAACCCTATAAACTAAACTAAAACTATCAACGTTTTATTTTAAGAGGGAGGGCCATTGAGCTCGAGAAGCTCTTCTTCATGAGCGACCTGGCCACAAATGATAGCCCAATTAAGTGGATTATCAAGTAGAAATTGATAGCAGCCAAATACTCTAAACGCATGTTTTTAAATGTGGAGGGAAAAAGCGAAGGACAGAGAATAATCCAAGGTACAACGGGGAGAAAATACAAACTTCTAATTTACAGGCGTCAGGGTCGAGATCGAACCTACGACCTCCTGTGAACATCTCTCCACCACAGTCCCCTAGAAAGATAAAAGGTTGATGTCTACCCAACCAGGACTGAAATTGCAAATATTTTTTAATGCAAACAATTGCGTATTCTTTACTTTATTCCAACTCTGCTATTGGCATCGTGTCATGAGACAAATAATCTCCTTGGAACTTTCACAGAGTGGCAAATCACTTCATGTTAGCAGCCCATGGAAGCAGATTTCACAGAACTGAGATAAAAAGTAAGAAATATGAGTCCATGAAAATCTTACCCGGCAATCATGAAATCTTCAGACGCCTGGTCATGTTGACCGGTCAACAGGTTTGCCAAAATAAAGTTCCAAGGGATAGTGTGGTACGACAAATCCGTAAAAAGAACTGGGTCAACAACATCACTTAGTAGAATAAGTGAAACCGCACAACCAGATATTGGCACCCAAGACCATGGCAACTGCAGATGTTCTCAGAAATATATGACCTGTTGTTTATGCAGGTATACGTACATTATTAGTTGAATAATTATATGCAGTACTAGTTTTGCTTTAGCTGATTTACATGTATATTCTTTTGTGGGTGTGGGTTGAGTTAAGTATTTATAATCTAATTTAAAAATATTTGTACTTAATTTCAATGAAATCGCATCTTAAACAGTATACTCAGTTGCATACTCTTAAGAGTAATATTGTAAATAAAGTATTTATTTACAGTGCTTACAAAAATATTTTTTTTTGCACAAGGACATCATATATTTGCACAAAAAAAGTTAGGGCTTCGAATATGCCATGAAATATAACCAAAAATGAAATATAAAACAATATATATAAACTTCCTCAAATGTAATTTGAGTCCTGATTTTAAAACTCAAACACACCCAGCATTATATATGTTGACATTCAATTTGAACATGAAGTCTACATTCAGGACGTATGTAAAATGAAAAGTTGTAAACCCCTTACAAACAGTTTTAGACATAAGACAATAAATTGTCAGCTGTGCCAAAGTAGGCTTGCAACTGTTATAGCTCGTACATAGAAAAATCATTATTTCAATATACACTCACTGGCATTCTTTTACTGGAAACACGACAAAATGGCACCAGAGAATGTTAGAATATGGTCTTTTTACTGGGGTTTAATGACAGTTACCATGTCCAATAACAAAAACAATAAATGCCCTTGTTAAGTCAAATATGCAACTGAAAAAATAAAAAACAACAAAATGTATAAATACTGAAGTTTACACAAAAATGTGGTTTTATTTACCATTTGTGGAGTTCATTTTTTTATTATTTTTTTACCGTCGTATTGGCCTGGAAAATAAAAAATAAAAACTGAAAAGTAAACACTTAAACAACAAATAAAAATGATGGTAAAAAATCACCATTTGTTTCGTCTTTAAAATACAATTTTGCCTTCATCAAAGGCAAATATATTTAGCCTGCGTAGATTTTCACGCACAAAAAATCAAAGTATGACAGTCCGATAATGTGAACTTGTGGGCACAAACAACGTAATAAGCGCAAAATAAGGACATAAGAAACCCACAGTTTCAAGTCTCCTTGAACAGTCTTTGTCAAAACAACGTTCCGAACACTTGGGACGAAATGTTTCTGAACAATGATTGCTAAGCAGTCTAGTGGCATGTTGTGTGGCTCAGATGTATAGTATTCTTGATGTGCTCAATGCACCACAAGTGCACTTTAAACCACTTCATTACATCTTCCCTGAAGTGTCGATGCTCCTCCGTTGTACAAATACTTTCCATTTGCGTTTAATTGGTATTTGTTTGCTATAAAACATAATGCATATTTACCGAACAATTTCTTTGTTTCTTTGTTTTTTCTTTTTTCTTGTCGTTTCATTCTTTTAATTTTTTTTTTTACACAGGACGCAGAATCATGTCCTTTACATACAGGCTTGGCTAGGTATATAAAGGCTTCGCCATGCGCGTGGATCATCATTTTTTGGCGTGCAGAGCATCTTGGAACTTGGTGCTGGTGTAGCGTGCGTGAAAGCCTTTCTTCCCAATCGTGTCATCCGAGTGGAAGCGGATCATGATGCTGTCTCCCGATGAGTACACCTCCTCCGGTGGCTGCAGTAACACAGACAAGCGTTCTTAATCATCATTTATGAAATTAAACACTGCAGTCACTCCAAAATCAATCATTCCAATGCCTATTATTTGGGTCTTTCGGTAAAGTCACGTAGATAGGTTCAAAGAAAATAACAAAAACTACGACGTTTCGAAAATCAGGAAAAGGGGGTTCGCCTCCAAAGGCAAACTGTTTATAAAGGTTTAGAATGGGCGTAGCCCAAGTGTCAGCAGCATGGGCGGGGCAGCTAATGTTAATGTAAGTGATGGGCAGCGACCGCAATTGGCAGTGGGTTTCCACCAATTAAAGGGCTGCCACGTAAAAATTTGCATGCAAATGTAAGATTGGAGAGCGGCCTCCACGGCGAGCGAGCTGAGGTGGCTATGTTAACGTAAGATGGCAGATCCTCCGCCACGTCGAGGTCGGAGCGCGGAGGTGGCTGTGTTGATGTGAGAAATTTAACCTGTTAATGTCAAATCAGAGAGCTGAAAATAACAACTAACATCGGAAGGTGGCAGGATGCGAACATCACAGCCAGTTATGACTTAAACTGGTTGATAACGTCCTTCCAATGATTTCTAAGTTTGTACCCATCTTCTCGGTTTAAATTGTGTCTGTTTCTGTATATATGGATGGCTTCACGAACGAATCTTTGTTGATAGCCAGTGGGTTTGCAAAGCGCCTTCGTCTTAGAGATATCCATTTCGTGTGAGCCCACCGCATTAAAACAATGATCAGCCACGGTCGAGGTATTGATCCTACCGTGTTTCAGATCAGCCTTATGTTCAAGAACTTGGTCTGAGACATGTCGCTTAGTTTCACCAATGCCCTGCTGCAGTCTAGCCAAGGGACCGCCCCCCCCCACCCCAACAGTGGCAGCTGTCCCTGGCGACATACCATGTACACAGCACCAGCCAGCAAATGGCTATATTAGTCTGCCTGTAGGCATGCGATGTTGCGAAGTGGTTTTCCCCAATTAAGTGATGAGCGAGTAATTTATCACATATTACAAATTTCGACCACAACGATAGCGCACATGGCCTACTCTTTTTCAAACAACGTTACGGGATCTCCAACGTTCGCTGTGAAACAGACAGCTCGTAGTATGAAGGGCCAACACACCCCGCAGCGTTCATGAACCGGGGCGGCCGACGGGGCTCAAACCACAAGTCTCGGCGACCAGCAGTAAATGCGCTCCTGCTCGGGGCGCGGGACCGCCCATCGACCGCTGCTGTCAACCACGGCGAGTGCTGGGAGTGAGGTGGTGGGGCGGGGGGGCGGGGGGAGCCTGTTATATATATACAGTTGTCCCTCACTATAACGCGGTTCACCTTTCGCGGCCTTGCTGTTTCGCGGATTTTTTTTAGTGTAATTTTGCATGCTTTTTTTTCCTGCGTACAGTATGAACGCGCATTGTGTTCGGCGTCCTGATTGGCTAAGGGAGAACCGCACATGTGTTCTGCGTCCTGATTAGCTAAGGGAGTACAGAATGCGTTCGGCTAGCCAGATTTACAAAAATGTTTGGGCTTGAAAACAGGTTTTGATCTTTGGTTTCATTTACTAATATTGTACTTATTTTTTTTAATCTGCGAAAGTTTGAACTTTGAGAGTGTTTAAAAAAGAGAGAAATGTGAGAAAATGTTAATGCCTGTCTGAGAAAAGTGTATAAAAGTGTGTGGTTAGGGGTTTTACGGCCTTAAAACATGTATAATAATTGTAAAAAATAGAGCTGATTACTTCGCGGATTTCGTCTATTGCGGGTTATTTTTAGAACGTATCCCCCGCGATAAACGAGGGACCACTGTATAGGCCTTTTCCCATTTTTTTTATATTAATAATGATTTTGGCAATATTTTTTTTCATATAATCACTCGCGGGGTCGCTGGGAGCACAAACAAACGGACCCCCCCCCCACCTTTTCGAGCAGCTGTCTTGTCACTCTCGCAAAGATAATGACACCCTCCCCTACCACAAGTGGAAAGGGTCAGTCAAAAAGTCAAATAAAAAAGATACACACACACACGCCCCCCCCCCCCTCCCGGACGAAGGATAACAAACAGGCGTTTCGTTTTGGTTAACTTTTTCATGCTTCTTCTAACAAATGGTAAAAATTCTAAAACTTAACGACCAAAGATGAAGCTAACATTATCGATCCTCACACTCACTCCAATTAAAAACCAGGCTACAATCTACATCAGTGGATCATTACTCATTTATTAATTCAATACTAATGTTATTTTCACCTTTAATAATTTTCTACACAACCTAACCGAAGCATCAAGAAGAATTCTGGCAGTCAGGTTTATTCCTAAGCCAAAATGAATTCTCTAACCTCGGGATATCAGATAATAACAATAACTCGAGAACAAACAGCACAAACCCAGGATACAGGCAGTGGAACGAAAATTAATAAACCCTAAGAAATACGTGGTGATGATAATGTTAAATCACAAATCTGGGAAATCATAAACCAAATAAAAATTATGCAGTATTAAACCGGGGGGGGCAACCAGAAGAGATGAGGTGAGGTGGGTTAATCACGTGACCAAGATAAATGTATCCCAGAGAGAAAGAGAGCCTCCCGGCCACCTTTGTCTTCCAGCAGCACGTGATAGAATTTGCATACACAGGCAGAGGGCATCTCCTCTTAAAAATAAAAATCAAACACCACGATGGAAACACTACTACAAAATACCTTGAGTCACGTACAGAATCATAACTACAAGTGGTACGGTATCAAACTATGAGGTAAAATAAATGTTTAACTTCAAAAGCCTCAACACACCCTTTGTGCGAGGCAAAAGAATGTCACACCGGGAGGGAAGAGCAGGAGGGAGAGGACTCGACCGGACAGGGGGCACCCCCCTCCTTCCATATTAATTAGTGCAGAGGGTGAGAAAGAAGGATGCACTCGGCGGCAATCTGGAGCATCTGTTTCCTTTTGATGGCGGGATGGCTTGAGGAAGGCGACAGGGAACCATGCCTTGATGAAACTCATTACCTCAATAAATATGACACACACGGACACACGGACACACGTACAACCCCCGCCCCCCCCCCCCCCCCCACAACATAGAGCGAGATCAAGTTCCGGTCCTTTGTGAGAAGGCGAGCAGAGGAAGAAATTTTGGCATAAAAAGAGAGACACAGGCCATACATTGCATCACAGCTACCAGCGGCAGAAGACCAACTATCGAAGATGCTGAACCCCCGAAGATAACAGCCAGCCACCGAGGGCGACCAACCGCCGAAGAGCTCGAGTTCAACTGGCGAACAGCGTCAAGCCATCGACTTCGAGAAAGGGCGGAAAGCGCCAAGCATCGACCAAGCCAGCATCGCGGGGAACCAGCTGCATGTGCAATCGACACCGCCAGAGAGACGGAGCAGGAGAGAGGACGCCGCAGCGCCACCAGCGTCACCAAGCAAGGGTGCCGGCTGCCAGCGGACGAGCTGCGGGTGCTACCTGACGACGGGACCATCGCGCACCGACGGCGAGCGTCGTACCAACTCTTCCCACCAGCTGTGGACCGAACCCCGGCCGCCCGTGTGAAAGAAGGAGAACCCAGCTATCCGTATGATACGCACACCGCCACACATTACAACACATCACCTGGCGTCTGCTTGACGCAAAGAATTGATCAAGAACACATCCCCACTCAAGCCATACCATCCCCACTCAACACATACACGAATCATTAATAAGAAGACTCATGATAAGTGCATCAAGTATCAACTGATAACGAAGAACACGGTTGCCATTGGGTTACGGGGAAATGGTCGTTAAGAAGTATTTTAGTAGTTATGTTTCTTTTTGATTTGCATAAATATTAACAACGAATTCATCGATGAAAACGAAACGTTTAAAAACCTAAGTTACGAATCCACACACTCACAGGGAGAATATTGTGTTGAAATCTTTCTTTTGATCACAGAATCTGCCCGTGAATTTATTTAAACCTCAGCCAATTAATGAGTATTTGCTGAAGCAGGCATACTGCTGCACACCATGGTTTCAACATTTCGTTAAATTACGTAATCTTGCCCATGGATTCATTGCCGTATACGTTTTGCCTTCGGGACATGTTTCTTTATTGCCTTTTTATGAATGTCCTTGCATGAATTTTTAAGGACTTTTTATTCCTATTTGCCGTATATACTCGTGTTACTCTGATGAAGTAATCGTTTGTTCTGTTACCCAATTAACAAACGTGATCATTGAGGGTTAAATGTATGAATTCATAAAGCCTTAGCCAATTGATGAGTATTTGCTGAAGCAGGCGTACTGCCACACACCCTTGTTCCAAGACATTTCGCAATTACGTAATCTTGCGCGTGAATTAATTACCGTATACTTTGCCTTCAGGACATGTTTCTTTATTGCCTTCGTATGAATATCGTTGCATGAATTTTTAAGGACTTTTGGTTCCTATCGCCGTATATGCTCGTGTTACTCTGAGGAAGTAATCAATTGTTCTGTTACCCAGTTAACAAACGTGATCATTGAGGGTTAAATGTATGGATCAATGAGGGGGACATCTCCTGGAGTACGGTGTTGACCATGTCAAGCATAAGAATTCGCATATTAGAGTGTTAAGGTTTTGTTTAGAAATTAAAATTGCTTAACACAGAAGTGTCTGAGTGGTTCCTTCCCAAGTTCATGCTTAATAATCTTAATTATAAGAACTGTATCCTGCGGATGAGATTTGAATTTGGAGACCTGACATAACACACTAATACATAATCAGTAAATGTTAAAGCGAGAATAATTGTATTATACCGATTGATAAAACAAACCTAGACAATGAAGCTGAGCTTAATCTAGCATACTTACAGCACACCTGCATAACTTCATACAATTAATTGTCTTATCCCGATTGATGATACGACCCTGGGCAACGAAGCCAAGCCTAATTATCATAACTGTCCACATTAGCATAAGCGCATACATTCGCATAAATTAATACGATTATATCTCTAACACAATTTATGCACACAATTACACCAATTAACATAATTTCGGACAATTATGCATTTTGTTTTCATTCAATTTAGATTATTTTCATTAAATTTTCATACCCAACATATACAACAAGCCTCCTCACCCCAGAGCCGCAGAACCGCCCGAGGCGAAGGGCGTCGGCGCTGTAACCGTCGTACAGCTCCATGTAGTCATAGCCGCAGTCGGCCTCCTCCTCGATCTCGAAGGTGAGGAAGGTGAGCTCCACGCCGTAGCCGTCCTCGGCCGTGATCACCCAGTCGCAGTCCAGCTGCCCGGGGTAGTTGTTGTCGCCGAACTGGGCGTGCGAGTACAGCTCCCTGGGAGCCACGTCCGCCCTCAGCTTACCGCCGCACACTGCACACGGGGTGTGGGGGGGGGGGGCACGTGGGGCGAGCAAGGGTCACGGCTCGCTCTGTTATTTATATCGTCACTCTTTCGCCACCAGTTTTTGTTGTTGTCTGTTGATGCTGTTTTGGTGGTGATGGTCAGCGCACCTCCAGTTAGCGGAGTTGTCTCCGTACGGTGGGAAAGAAGTTCAACATAACACAGAGCACTTGACTTGGGATTCAAAAGTAATGGTTCATTTTCCAGCGTGGCAGGTGAAACAATGGTGCAGGTTTTTTTTTTATCACCCCCCCCCTACTTCCTCTGTCCACCCAGCAGTATAAATGGGTGCACCAAAGTTCGTTCATTAGCAAGTCGTGTGTGGCGAGGTAAAGTTTGGTTACACCGGCCTCTTCCAACACATCTGGTTTTACGTAGAAGAGAATATCAAATACCCTCAAGGGTTCGGTCTGTGGGAGGTCCTTCTTCCAGCAGGATAAAAATGTGTTTATTTTTACATGTACAGAACTTTGTGATCTTTCAATGAAAGGTGCTACATACAAACAAATTATTTGTATTATTAACAGTGGCATGAGCAAGAAAGCAATTGCAGGACTGCACCTTTAACCACCTTCGTTAGCTAAATAAAATTCGACTTAACAGAAAGGAAGAAAAAACACCCAATTCCCCGTGGACACGTGAGCAACGCTTAAGCAAATTGCCAACGAATGTGGGGGCCAACCTGTGGAGTGGATGGCCTGGAAGCCCCGCTTTTGTACGGAGGCATCCGACATGAACCTGAGGTACATCTTGTTGAGCGTCGACAGAACCGCCTCGGGCTTCTTGCTGCCGCAGAAGCGGCCGAGGATAGGAGCTTTCTCGCTGCTGCCATCGTACACCTCCAGGTGGTCGTAGGCGCACTCCTGGTGCTGCTCCACCTCGAACTCGCTGAACGTCTGTCGAGATAACACGCACGTAGACAAAGGATCCACCCCACCCCCCCCCCCCCCCCATATATAGCCTTCGACAGACCGTATGGGGAGCAAGTACTGTTGGCGAGCACCCACCACTCATCGCGCACATAAAGCGCTTGCCACAAATGAACCGCAATACCTTGCTGATCTTATCAAGGAGCATAAAACATCGTGGGAACTCCGGTCATCCTCGCAGCAGCTTTTGGCTAGCCATCGAACAAAGACGGTCACTGCATCGTGCTTTCAGATGCACTTCTGCGGCCGTCTGGAATGCTCTTCCTTCCGATATTAGGAAGCAACTAGAGCTATCCAGTTTTAAATCTTGATTGAAAACTCATTTCTTTAGAACAGATTTTTGTGCTTAATTTGTTGTCCTTTCCCCACACCTCCAATGATAATCACATACGACTCGCTAATTAACGAGCGAGAAAGAAGTTCAGCATGCATAGGGTGTACGTATACGCGCGTGTATGTACATCGCAGAGTGCCACGTACCAGCTTGACGCGATGGCCGGGCGTTGCTGAGATCTCCCAGGTGCACTCCCTGCGGTTGGGGTATTTGTCTGGCCAGTTAGGGCTTGAGATGACTCCCTCGGCACTGTTGATCTTGTGTTCACAGCCCGCTGTGGAGACCAACAGAAATGCAGGTGCTTGGCTATGCATTCAGTGCACGGGTGGTGGTGGTGTTGTTAGCGAAGAAAGGACAATCTGGCAGCCTATTGTCTAGCGACTCCCATAAGACATCAATCTACATGGTGGGCATGTGGTCCAGCAATATATATTTCTGCAAAAAAGGAGATAGCTGCTCATCTACTAACCCGGTTGTTATTAACCTCTACTGCAGCCTGCACCCCTTTGGTGCTCAATCGTAAAAAAAACCCATTATAATGGTAATAAATGCATAGGTTTGATGAAACAAAGTATCTGTACTTATGTGACCGTGCAAAAATTTGTGTTTTTTTATTTACCTAAAAAAATAATCTATGTCATGTCTCACACCCCAAGACATGGCATCTCGCAACCCCAGAGGGTGCGTGCACCCCAGGTTAAGAACCGCTGTACTCACCCATGAATTACACCAAATTATCTTTAAAGATTAAAGAAAACAGCAGCAGCTGTCAGGATTCCCTCCCCCGTCGAGCCCCGGGTACCTTCTTTGCAGTCGTGGCCATTCTCATGAAGCATGAACCCGTTGCGGCACTGGCAGCTGTAGCTCCCGAGCGTGTTGATGCAGTCGTGCTGGCAGCCGCCGTTGTGCTGCGAGCACTCGTCCTTGTCTGCAGCACGGACATGGGGAGAATGCCCTCGTGATTGCAAGTACAGGTGCAATACAATGGGGCGTTTATGAACGTATGCGCGTGCGACCTAATTTCAAGGTTGTGAACGAGTCATGGGAGACGCGAGTCTTGGGAGTCTGGGAACTGCGTGGGAATTGTTTGGTTAACATAATTTCCAGATGCAAGAATAGAGCAGAGTAATGATGTGCTCGTGAACGAGTCAAAATGGCTATCTTTTAAAGCGCACACTATTAATAGTTACACCATTAATGGTTGTGATAAACTGGTTCACGGAATCTCATACAAACTTCATGGCAGCAGGATTATGGTGATCTCCACTGATACTAAGTAACCAGTCTACTATCCCAGGCAGGACCCTGCCATAAATAACGAAGAATAAAGACATTTCTTGGCCGAGTTAAAGGGCCACGATAAATCCGTACAAAATCCTCAGCCTCACCCGAGAAGAAGTGGACTTTGAAGCCCTTCTTGGAGACGGTGTTGTCCGACTTGAACTCGAGGCGTAGGTTGTTGTTCTGCGATGTGATCACGTCTGGGAGTTCCGTGCCACAGAACTTGCCGTGCAGCTTGGATTCCGAAGAGAGGCCGCTCCGGATTTCCACATAGTCGTACTTGCACACCTGTGCGGGAGGGAGGGGGCAGACTCAGTTAGGCTGCCTCTACGCTCCAAGCTCCACCTCCCGTCAGCTGAGTCGAGTCACAAGATTCCAATAATGTCTGCTGAACTTTTTTCGCGCCATGCACAGCCAACCGTTCTAATTGTAGGTACGGGGGAAGGACAACAAACTAAACACAAAAAGCAGCTCTAAAGGAAATTAGATTGTCAATCAAGATTTTGAAGTGCACAGCTCCAGTGTCTTCCTGATATCAGGAAGGAAGAGCGTTGCATGCGGCCACAGAGGCGTATCCGAAAGCGCGCGACGCAGTGAACCATCTTTGTACGCAGTGCCATCTATGCAAGCATTTGGAAAGTGTGGCTGCACCCCTGCTCCCGAGCACACTCCACCAGCACCCCCCGACGTGCAGGGTTCGGCTACGTGCGGCGCGAAAGAACCTCAACGCACAGCACACACACACACAGAGCCAAGGTGTTGCGACATTCTGCCGCGCGGATGTCGGGCTCACGTCGTTTCCTTCCAGCTCGAAGAACTCGAACTGCAGAGAGATGCGGTACTGCGCTGGGGCCACCACCTGCCACACGCAGTGCTTGTTGGGAGGGTACTCCTTGGGCCACCCGGGGCTCGTCATGGTGCCGTTGAGCTTGTTGAGGAAGCCCCCGCAAGCCGCTAGAGGAGCAAACGTCGCGCAGAGATCACGGCGTGGCGGGCGGGCGGGCGGGTAGCGCGCACGCAGAAGCGATCGCGCAAAGGCGGCAAGAGGGGGACGAGATTCGCAGCCGCGAGACCACCGTGGCATCGCGGGAGGAGAAAGAAAGAGACGTACAGCGTTCCTGGTGATCCCGACAACAACGGGGGGGTGGCATAGAGCTCCCCACCATCAGCCTAATTCTACTGTTCAAATGTTGTGGCATACAACTTGGAAAATGTATGCAAGTTACCTTTATTGTGGATTGCCCATGACAATAATCCCACAAATGCTCTTTGGGCAGATACATCGTTGTTCTGTCGGCATATTTGGTAACAAATGCATTCATTCATGGACCGAGACACGGAAGTAAGTGACCCGGCCAAGTTAGGCTGCAGTGGACTTGACACTACCACAACTATGATGCATGCCAACAGCTGTACTTAATGCTGCAGAGCCACTGTTCTTTATGCATTTGATCATATCAGGAGAATGTGACACTACGTACAAAATATCAATCTCAACCCTGTCATAAATGATAAGAAATAAGCGGTAAAAAAGGGTAAAAGCTGTTGCTATAAGAGAAAAAACTTCACACAGTGCATATTAACACGATAAGATGCGTAATTAACAGTATCGCATTGTGATAAAATGTTCAACTGAAGCGAATGATTTAGCTGCCCGTGTACATTTTCATGTTATTCTAGAACGTACCACGAGGGGGCAACAATAATACGTCTTCCGTGTCTGCACAAGTAACTTTTCTTTTATCACTTTTGTATTTTTTTAAGCTAGGTCCTCGAACGTGTACATCCGGATGTCTTTAAGCGCACGGAATCAAAATGTCAACTCAGACTTTCAACAACTAAACCTTTTAATGCGCGTAACATGGCAGTCCTTGTTCGATCTACCGCTGGATGACATCCTTCCCAGGCCGCATCAGTCATGATGGTGGTTTGCCTCATCATGTTGATCAGTACAGGTTGGTCAGAAACTGGTGAGATGTCACGAGCCGTTGATTATGGCAGTAATTATTGCCGTAGTTGGGAATCGAACTCCGAAGCTTGATCGTGCAGAGTGCCAACCACGCTCCCTGTGCCACAACCTCTTGCAGATCGCACCTCTCTCGGGCTTTCTGTGTTTATAAAATTACTAGCTGTTACTACCCGGCTTCGCCCGGGACTTGGATTCACCACGGCCGGCCGCCTTTGTCTCCCCAGTGGCGATGTTGACACACCACACCAGTTACTCGTTTGAAGCTGAGTCGACCTAGGGGAGGCCCAGGACCGGTTAAAATAATCGTCACTGGTGGTGGCCGTGAGCGGGAATCGAACTCGGGTCGCCGGGGTTCGTAGCGCGGCGCGCTAACCACTACACTACAATGCGCTACGCTTCCACGTGCGCGGGTCACGTGACAGATATGACGTCACAGTTCACTTGCCGTGCAAAAATCTATGTATTATTGAGCTCCCCCCCCCCAAAAAAAAGTATTTTTATAATTTGTTGCATGGTGTACAGTCTGGAAAGTACCCACATGGAAAATTTCAAGTTTGTTGCATGTCGGGAAGTACGCTAAACATTTTGAACAGACACATAATCACAACTTTGCCTTTTTTATATATGGAGATAAGTTGCTTTCAGGAGATATTGCCCTAATTGTGTCTTATTTAACTCAAATAGTTTTACAATACATCTTTACTAAGTCTCCATTCACAGGACTCCTTAATTATGTTCCTTGCTTCACTTACGTTTTAAATTTCAACAGTTTCAGTGCTGTTCTTACTCTAAACATTATTACTCAATTGTGCTCTGGATCTCTACCGTGGCTGCGTATTACGATTCAAATGAAGGAAGATTGTTTCCTTGCTAAAATGAGCCATGTTGGTGGTCCGTATGGCAGTCCAACCTATCCATAGCGCTGCCACTGTTTGTGTCTACATATAAAATGTTTGTGTCTACATATAAAATGTTTGTGTCTACATATACAATGTTTGTGTCTACATATAAAATGGACAATGCATTGGCAGTGGTGCACAAGCACAAACAACACTTCCACATTCGTCAATAATACTGATCTATAGAGGAAAACGTATCTATAAGGTGACATTTACCGAGTGATCTCAACACGAATGTGCCGAGTCACAGTTTCATTCCCACATTTCATCAACCCCGATGGGATAAAGAGACTGAGTCTGCTCCGAAACGAGGTTTTGAACTTGGCAGTCTAATGATTCCGTCTCAGGCTCTCTAAAACCAGAGGCACGCGGCAGGACATTATATTACAATCGTGGTCATTTTCAAATGATCGAAGCACATCAGAGGAAGATACAACAATCTTTTATAAATGTGGTTTAGTTTCCAAGATTCTGAATTTCATTAAACAGCAGCAGACTACTTTGTTTGAAACGCCCCAGTGTTAATTAGTCATGCTCTGTCGCTTCAATTATCCTCCCAATGCAATGCAATCAGGTAGCACAAAGAGTGTTCCACTCCAAGGGTTCAAACCCAGGGTAGTATGACGCAATGGGGACGGTCCACGACATGTCTTGTACGTTTATGGTTTGTTTGGTCTCTTTTGGGAGGATTTCAACAGCACTGCGCAATAGAACGAATACGTTAGAATGAAAACAAACGTCCAAGTTTCAACAAAATGTACAAGTAATTTTGCAGTATCCATTGCTGGTTTAAGGGCTCCCCATTGCGAGTTGGTTGTGGGGGTTGTTTGATCATACTTCACTGCTCTGGTCTGTGCTAGATTGTGAAGTGCTCTCCGATGTTAGCGGTGGTCAAAATTAAATTCGGGTCACCAGGTGCATAAACCAGCGACCCACACCACCAGTTCCCCACGTACTATGACGTGTCTTAAGCGAAGAATATTCGTTATTACGGTCCAGCACTATAGCTCCAGCCACTTGTCAGCCAAACCTGCAGGCATTCAAATATTTATTAACAACCCCAGTTAAAACACAACGTACTACCGGCTAAGAACAAGCACACACTTTCATGTAAAATAACACGTATCAGAAAAGACTGCTTAAAGTGTCTTCACACAGGGGGGGGGGGGCGCTGTCACTCGGTTCCCATAAAGAGTTCACAATCCACAATGAAGTCCAGGTGCAGGACCCCACCTTCAAAAGAACGCCATGTCCCAAAAGCATAATTCTCATGCTTCATGCCGACACGAACGCATATCCACACGCACAGCCACGTGCACGTCGCACGATAGCGAGCGACGTTATTCACCACAAAGCAGTGCAAGTGTCACCGTGTATGGGGCCTGTGCCAGAGGCTAGGTTCTTATGCCACATCGTGCGGCAAAGATTCAAAGCGCGTAGACAGAATGAGGTGTTTTGGGTGGGAAGCGAAATGGACTGATATCACCAGATCAGACACTCGCACCCGAAGCTCCGCTTACCATTGACAGCGTGGCACCTCTACCTCCTGTTGTGGCTTGAAGTCAGCTCTCGCCAGCTGCCCCATGGCAAGACTTATGAGTTTCCTTTACAGAAGTCAATATCAATACGGCTGGCACCAGCCAGTGACAACGTCCGGGTGGCTTTAGCCCTTACTTTGCCACATCAGCTTATGTCTCTAACCCATGAATTGATATATTCGCCACTAAATGATGGTGATGTTACTCTTCCAAGCTTTGTGGACAGCTTTGTCACTTCCATTGGTGAAGGCTGTCTGACAGGAAGGCTCAGGTAACTCGACTACATCAACCCAATGCTACCTTCACACACAAAGATCCCCCATACCTCCTTATAGACTTCTAGGACAAATGCCGTTAGTGAGCACCTGCTAAGAATGGAATGGTGGTGTGGCTAGCTCCAGGCTTGGCTGCTTTTGTCTCCCGAAAGCTGACGTTCACGCACTGCACCAGGCACTCATGCAAAGGCTGAGTTGACCGAGGGGAAGCCCAGGACTGGTTAGCTGTAGCTGAGAATCGAACTCAGGGGACTAGATTAATGGTGCAGAGCACACGCCCACATATACAGGTACGCACATACAAGACTCCTGCTGTGGTGCACATACCTTCACAGCTCCTCTTGTCGGGTGCCAGCTCATATCCAGGGTCACAGGCACAGCGGTAGCTGCCCAACGTGTTCACACAGTTCTGCTCACAACCACCGTTGTCCGGCCTTGCACACTCGTCTATTTCTGCGGAGAGACAGGGCGAGACAGCCCGGTTACGGATGCCATCAAACGTGACATTAAACGCGAGGCACGTCTGGACTGACGAGGAAGGGTCTGGTTAGGTTACCACGCATAAATTTAATACTAGCGGTAAGTACCCGGCGTTGCCCGGGCGAAAAAGACAGACACACATGACACATCGACTTACACACACTTTGTATGTACATGAGTTTAGTGGAAGAAGCAAGGAACAGAAATATAATTTGTCCGCACACAAACATGATGACTGTAATATTAGCAAGGTGATTATTGAAAAAATAGGTTTCTTTGAAGGTGATTTGACACCAAAAAAAATGAATGCAGAGCAAGTTAATAATCAAATAATAGTTGTGAGCACACAAACGGTATTTTTGTCGATTGGTGCCAGGAAAGGCAATGCGATGGCACGTGACGACTTCAACAGGAATTCAATCTTAACCATGGACCCTGCACACAGCGAGTGAACACCGGTACCTCGGTGTCGGCCTCACGTCTTCTACCCCCCCCCTCATGCCACTTGGCTCTACCCGGCTATGCCGAGGGAGAGGTGTCCTCACGTGTGCTGTGCAGAGCCCCAGATACACACTCTGTATATATGTTGAATTTCTTTTGCAGCGTACATATCCAACCGTTCTAATTTGAGGTGCGTTATTCCTGTGTCAAGCCCAATTTAATTATACCTAAATTGTTCAAATGCAATCATCGGTGACTGAGTAGGGACCATCACATTACTACGCTTGAGAACCTGATTCAAGCAGGGCGCTGCTATCTGCTAGAGCAGTACCCTGGAAATGGCCACGAAGAGCGTTTGTATCTATCACCTGAATGACACTCATCATGAGATGATTTTTCCACCAAATATTCTTTAAACGCCACACTCTACCTCGTCGATTCAGAAAACGAAGTTTCTGCTGTAAGAAAAATAGTAAAAATGGGAAAGCATTGCAAAGTAGATCATCATTTAGAGTGTGTGCATATTATGTCCGTTATTCAGGTGATGACAGCTTTAAATGCATTACCTGTTATTCAATAAAGACTAAATGTGGTTATGTATATATGAATCAACATCTTGAGCATTGGTTGATCCACTGCCGGAAGAAGGCCTCTCCAAGCCACTGGCACCCCCACACTCCTGTAATCCACCCAGCACCTGCACATTAACGGATTTCATCGCTACATCTCCTCACACATGGATTCCATTCATTGGCGTGTTGTTGGGGTTTTTTTTGCAAATATATTTTTTTCTAAAAAGAAAGACAGATTCTGCCAACTGGCTCGGAGGTGATAAAAATGTGTCACTGGACCACGTGGCCACCTTGGTGATTCAAATTGTTGTAAATTTCAACGAAATTCTCAGGACATGTTCAATACTGTATACAACATTCCAGTGTGCCGTGATGCGCGGATATTTCCCCCCATAAACGTCGAGCCAAAACAAGCAAGTTTCAAAATATTCCAAAACACGTCTCTCTGCACTGAAGTCGGTGGTATTATGCTGGCCAATGTCTTTGGGAGCTTTCTTTTGGGGAGCGAGAGAGTGATATAAACAACAAAATGTGGTACTGTTTATTATGCTGCCTCTGGAAATCCACTAAGTCTCAGATTATTCTAACCTCCAGCCCTCTGACAACAGAATAGAATAAAACCAGGTTTAGAATGTGTGGCCCCTCTGGATGGTTTAAACAAAACAGAAGCTTTGCTTTGGTATGAACAGAAAATAGTGTGTTTTCACAACAGACTTTGTTTATGGTGAACTATGACTCCCGGCTAGTGTTTTGATTTGTAGAGCAACATTCACTTGATTAATATTACATGTTTTATGAGAAGCTTAAATTACATTCATTCTGGCCAGGTGATACTGTGGCAAGAGCACACAAATCACAATCAAAGAGTTTAGAGTTCAAATCTTGGATTGGGGTAGATTTGGCCTATCTTGTCTAAAATTAGTACCACTTCGTGGGTAATGCACAAAAGTTATCTTATTTTGGAATTGCCCTCTCTCATAGAAACATGGAATTTCACTGTTGGCTCATGGCCAAGTCTTATTTTGGCAAGGGTACACTTTGATGTCATTTGATTTTAATGGCCTTCGCACATTAAAATAAAATAAAACATCCTACTTACTCAAAGACCAAGTGACTCCCTAATCAGCTAAATACACATCCACATCAACAATACATTTTAAATATATAAGTTGCCAATACTATACCGTATTTAAAGACTTGTTTTTAAAATTGACCGAGTGAGACAGGTCTCCGTTATTATTTTTTATCATATCATCAATGTGTATCCAATAAGCTTGAACAGCAAAAATGTTTAAACATCACCCATGACATCACTGGGAGACAAGAGCATGGGACAGATGTTGAGACTGCCAAACACCCAATAAGGAGTCAGCCAAACACCCAGTAAGGAGTCAGCCAAACACCCAAAGTTGGACTCTTTGGAAAAAAGAGCCTTGAAGCCTAGGTTGTGCGTTTCCATGGCAAAGGCCCATTACAAGTAGTATCGTTATAATTAATAACAAGCCAAATTGTTATCGAATATTGATCAAGTAAGATGACTAAATAAACGAAAATGTACCCAAATTGTACATGTATGCTTGGTTTCTATACGCACATACATTTAAAATACGACCTGCAATGATCAGCAATTACACCCCATATTAACTTCACAGCATTATGAGCAACATGGCACATTTAAAACACTTCTGTTGTACCTTAGATATGCATCTCTTGGCACAACCACTCAGTGACATTCCTCTGCGCTGTGCAGGTGAGTAATTTAACTTGCACAGGATACATATGCAGAATGAGCCAGGATACACAATAACTTAAGTGCAAAATCAAACTGTGTACACCGTGCAGTCACTGATGACCAAGCCAAGACCACGGACATGCTACACGGAGCATCTGCCTCCATCTCGAGCCCGGTATTAAAATGGAGAATCCCAACGGAGCAGGCTCAGTGCTTTGACACGGACATCAGCCATCAAATTCCTCATCCAACCCACCAACCAATATGATAATAGTCCATTGTTTTCCCAGGAAAGCCTCACTGAATCTGGACAGTGTGTTTTTGAACGGTTCTGCTTGGGATGTTTGGCTACTAGTTTTTGTTCTTTCAAATCTGCATGCGGGCAAAAAAAAACCCCAATGTACCTGGAGAAAACCTAAACACACCATAACACGCAAACTCCGCACAGTTGCTAGGAGCCTACTTGATGTACTGCCTTCCATCGGCACCACATTGCGTGGCAGATGGATATCTCACAGACACACACAATGGCTCGATTTCTACATGATCCAGCGGCCCCCTGCCTCCCAACCCTCTCTATTGCAGGCTTGTACGAGTCATCACGTAATAGAGCCTAACATCCTCTTGGATGCTAGTGGGGGCCACAATTAATGAGCAGCTACAGAACTAAATGGGGGGGGGGGGGGCACGTGCCTCTTGGTTTTTACCGGTGGAAACCAAATATCCAACACTCGCGCATCGCCACGTAATAACTTAGCTGGGCTCATGACGCATGCGCCGTTGCCCAGAACGGTTCAGGGGGCAGTCGGGTGAGGAGCAGCATCGACTCAGGAGGGATTCAATCAACGGCGCGGGAACGAGAACCTCTGCAGAAGGTCACCGCGCAGCACGTTCTAATTGTGCCGTTTTCCGTCGCTGTGATCTCCCAAAGGTCATTTACTTTCATCCGCAGCTTGAGGTTAGGAGGAACGGAGTTGGCTTGGAACCACTAGCGATTGGGTCAGTTTTCCACTTGGCTCAGAAGGATTGTAAATGCCACGGTACACAAAATTGGGCTTTTTGGGTTCATGTGTCGACGGACGATGAGCGCAAGTGAGGCTCCGTGATTTGGGGCTTGGAAATTTGAAACAAATGCAGGCCACTGGGTGGACATCCATGACCACCCTCTAGGGCGAACGGTTTAAAAGTAACTAATTAACTGTCCATGCATTATGACTTCTCTGAGGGATACTATCAGAGCAGATTGGGATGTATGTCCTTGACTGATGTGATGTCATGGTGTGTCTGTTTAGGTTTGTCATGGACATCAGTCCCAAAACGGCATTATGTTATTTTTAGATTGCGTGTTAATGATGTCACCAATGCTGGCACCCAAAGTCAAGTGTCCCCGTATTAAAACGAGCATCGAGTGGAAATTATTTATTTGGCAATTATGAACAATTTATAGAGAAACCACAACCCTAAGGTAGGGATCAATATCTCCTGCAAAACAACGACTGCTGTCATAGCAAGCGTGAGCATCACTCGGTAGTGTGCATTGTGCCAACACCAGGTAGGCCACGGTGGTGATCATGATGATGACAGTTAAAGTGTTACATCCAGGACATGGGTCTCTCTGTCCAGTAGGCTCTCGTTCGTAAGAATGTGAGGTCGTATCCCAGCCATGGTCGACTCAGTCCTGTCATCATCATCATCTCTCTGGGGTTGGTAAAACATTTTGGTTGCTCACAGATAAGCCTGCACTCCTTTGTTCGAAGTCAATTGTAGTCATCGTATGGATGAACTTGCCCCCATCACAGAAACGTGGAATTTACACGACGAGCACTTCACTCCATGTTGATAAGCACGATCCATTGCTTGTTTGAGCAACACAACACTAAGTTTTGGCTTCCCAACTACTGCAAGCACGCTTTTCACTTGTCACGATTCACAAACACTGCCAATAAAACCAAAAAAATATCATCTATTAAATTGACGTTTCTGGTAGTGCCTCATACTATATGTAGATTGTATAGACTCTGTGTGCAAAGAGAAACTTTTTCGCATGTTTTGGCAATTTAAAACAAAAAAAATATGTTAAAATATTAAATGTAAAGTAACTCAGCCTAGTTAAACAACACAGACCGCAAAGTCCATTACACGCAACTTAAATATGCAGACACAGACATTGACAGTGGCGTTTAGCTCATGCACGGCTATTCTGCAACGACGTTTGAAGCAGCAGCCGCCAGGAATGTTGTTCGTCTCACCCTTGAAGAAGTTTGCCGCGAAGCCAGCCTTGTTGACCGAGCTATCGGAAACGAACTTCATCCAAAGCTTGTTGCTGCTGGACTTGATGTCATCTGGTTTCTCGTATCCGCAGTAGCGGCCAATCAGCTGGCTGCTATCGTTGTCACCATCGCGAACCTCCAGGTAATCGTAGGCGCAGTTATCGTGCTTCTCGATCTGTGGTGATGAGAGTTTATATGTTCAGTGAATCACTCTGACCACTGCATAGTATACACAAAAAAACGTAAAAACATTTGCCAATAGCAATGCCTCAAAAGGGAAAAAAACGTATAATAGGCGACGTTTCGGGCAATGGCTCTTCTTTATAGTATTAATGGTTTATATGACAGGTTGTTAATTCAAGAATTGACTCAATCCATCGTTCCCGTGTGATCGATGAAATGGGTTGCCCCTTTGAGGTGGCCAAGTGGCTCATAATTGGCAATGCCGAGATCGTGGATTTGAATCTGGACAGCTGCCCGTAATTAAAAAAACCAACAGTTTATCAGAATAGCGAGTTGATGGTTGCAACCTGGTCAACAAAAGCTGCACAAAATACAATCGCATTAATTTTGGTATTGCACTTCATTACTTAACATTTCAGCACCAAGATGAAAAAAAATTGGGTTTGTCATGCGACAGGTTATCATAGCTTGCAGAAAAGTGCACCGCCTGAAGGAATTTTTCGAAAGTCCTGTGAAAATGTACTCTTGTGGCCATTTTCGGATACACCGGCAAGTGCCACTGAGTGATATCCAAATGGACTCTTCACCTCATGGCACGACACCAATAGCAGTGTTGGAATACATTGGGGCAAATCCCACCATAAGCTCTGGACCACCAAATAATATGACAGCATTGACTTATTGCTGGCTTTACCAGTGAAACTTATTTACACTCTGGTATAGACTGCAGGAAGAGCGTGGAGTCCTCAGATTTAATGATGAACGTTGAACACTAACATCCGAGCAGAAGCGTGATAATGTGGCCGTCTATGTTGGGTGAAAATGCAAATTTCCACTAATTTTCTAATTGCCGAGCGTGCACAATGTCCTTCACGGAAGTACGAGTGGAGAAAATTGAGTGTGGGTCATGTCATGGATCCCACGTCAATTCCAGCAAGGTCACAATGGTCAGCACATGCGGTTTCAAATCCAAACAGTGCAATTGCGTCGGTTTTCAATGAGACTAAAGTTTAATGCATGGATTTTATTTTTATATTAAAGTCAAAACAAGGCATAACACTCTGCTGGGTTTTTTTTACTCTTTTGTCCGATATTGGCACTGAGTGTTTTCCCAAATGGGATCGTGCTCATCTCCTGTTTATAGATCTAAAGAACGACTGATCAATTCCCGCACTGCGGCATTCATTTGTATCATGGCTGAACTGGGATATGAACTCACAACCTCCCAACTATGAGACCAGGGCTGTAGCCACAGCACCACCATTCCAGATGTTACTGGGGTAATGAGAACAATAATTGCCAATCTCAAACATTACGTGATAAAGGTTATGTCTTCAGTATGGCTATGTGCAGACACATCTACAATAAAGTAGTGCATACACACATTGCGGCAATGCATTCAATGTTCTACCAAAATCACCTACACATCCTGGCAACATGTAACGTGGTGTATGTGTTCTATGTGACTGATCCATATTAAATATTTAAGGAAAATTCCTCTATGAGCTCACAACCATAAAATATATGTTTTTTCCCCCAACAATTATTTGCCAATTAACAACACCCCTCCTAATTCTCATTCTGTCAAAGCGAATTCCCGTACAAAGTAGCAATTTGACCCAACACGTGACAAATTTGGAATCAATTGTTTCGTCTCTTCAGATCGACTCGCTGAGAAAGTCCTGTTCCTCTTGCAGGCATCCTTGGAGACGCGTCGTGTGTTTTTGTTATGATGTAGGTGGGCATATGTTTCCACTCACACACATATTCAGTTGGGTTTCAAGACCAGGTTGCAATGATCAAGGTAACTGTACAAGGGGACATTTCGATCCGAGTTTTGACGCAAAGCTTGAACGTACAATGTCAGACGTGCTGGCCTCAACCTGGCAGGAGCCTAAAGGCCATCATACACAAAGTGCAGTTGTTGGACAACAGTTGGCAGACGTTGTCAACAGTAATTGTTGTCACGCTATTTTCGATTGCAAAAGTTGCTCAAACCTGGGACAAATGTGGGATGGCAGCTTTCTGCAAACTAATATTTGTTATCAAACATTTTTCAAACTATGTTTGTGTGTCTACATTGGCCAGACACAACTCCATCCCTCCATTGCCATAGCAACTTACTGAAGTTACTCATAATAAACGCGTCGCCAGCGACGACTGCCCTCGTGTATCGTGGCCTTCAGCTGTACGAATCGCTCAACCTCTACACAGGCTGTTAAAAGTGTTCCTGTCAAACACAGAGTCAGCCATCGGTGTGTATTGCCGAACATGCATTACCGTGCACAGCAGACCATGCAGTATGAGGGCAGCATCCTGCCTCTCTGGAGCATCGCCGCCTTACGTTGTCATGCGCACGACATGCAGAGAGCTGTGAAGCATGCTCGGGAGCAAGGCATCGTGGGGAAGTTTCGGGGAGACACTCTGGGAGTGCAACGAAGTCAACGCCTTTCTCCAAAGAGCCCATGTGTGGAAAAGTGGTGTCGTCAATTCACCCAGTGGCCACATTTCACCGAGCCGTGTCTCAGAGCCCCCTTGGTGAATGCCCCACCATTGACACGGGGCAGGGTGCTGCAGTTATGGACTGCCAGGGATCGACATTTATATGGTGCAACTCATCAGGGCAGCAAATTACAGTCTGGATATACGTAATGGGGTTTTTTGTTTTATATATATGTAGACAAAAAAAAACATTATTTGTTTCTTAGATTATATATTTTTTTCCCTCCCAATTTGAAGGTTTTTAATGACGATATTGAGGAATAGGGTTTGGAGTTTGGATAGATATGCACTGTTTACCAAGTCTCCCTCGATGCCGTTGCTACTAAGCATGCTTAACTACTGTGTTAGGTAGCATGCACTATATTGTGTATTGCACCAACGAAGGATTCTGAGGTAAATAAAACAGGAGGCCACGTCAATAAACTATCAGAACACTGATACATGTATATAGCAAGCCTCATAACATCATGGCTTGCCTGAGTTATTTATAAGGAATTTAGAGGGGTTTATTGTGAATTAATTCATTAAATTAAAAAGTGCTTTCAAATAAAAACAACGTGGTGTTAAAATCTGCATAAACAATATAATTAAAGAGGATGGTCAAAACGTAAAGGGTGCTCAACATATATAACATATTGAGATGTTAAAAGTAATTATAAAACTAGAGCACCATTTATTGAAATATACAGCAACCCTGAATGAACAATGCGCTTATTTTATGATCGGTGCATAAAGTCATCGAATGAAGACGAACGGAGCATGGTCAGGCAGCTTAGGGGCCGTCCATAAATGACGTCACGCGATTTTGTAGGATTTTTGACCCCCCCCCCTCGTCACACGGCGTCACAAAATGTCAGACCCCCCTCCCTCAAATATGACGTCATAAAGCTCTGTCCCCCCCCCCCCCCCCCAAAATAAAACATGCTTCAGATCGCGTTAAACTATTGTCATTGTAGTGCGTATTTAATGTGGCGCTGCACTATGATGTTGTAGGAGAAAACATTTATTAAAAAGTCTATTTCATGAAGTAGAACGTGTTGTCTATATTTAAAGTTGCGCATTTTGATGTGACGTCACATTTCTCAACCGTCCCCCCCCCTTGACACACATCGTCACAAATGTCTGACCACCCCCCCCCCCCCCCCCCCGTGCGAGACGTCATTTATGGATGGCCCCTTAGAGGACCAATTTCTCAGCCAGACTAATGAACCGACACCCGCGAGATCATAGGTTTGAATGCAAAACAAACTTCGAGTCAGGGTTGCACACAAAATCTGTTGCACCTCATTTGGCTTCATAAGATAATGGTCACATGGCAAATTTCAGGTCCCTCCTCTCAGTAAAAGCTCCAAAAAGGACAAAGTCTATCATGTGACCTGACTTCAGTAGCACAATGTCGGTATAAAAAAAAAATAACAACCGACGAACAGAATAATAACATTAATATTTTTTTGGCGTTACAATGGACTCAACTATCACCATTTAGATATAATCGGTAATACAGTAAAAGAAACAAAAAGTCGGACGAACATAATTTGTCTGGAAGCTGTTAAGCATTACATTTTCAAGACATTTTGATCCATCCTCATGAATATAATATTAATGCATGATTCCCACACGACAAATCAAAAATAAAAAGTTCATGGAACCGTTTGGTCACCTCCCAGTTTTAATTTATTTATATAAAGTGAGAGGGTGATTGGTGGCTCACGCCTACTATTATCAACCTCAAAATCAGCCACTGGCTGGGGACCACGAACGTACCTCAAAAGCTTGGAAAGTGAGTCCGACTATGAAGCCCTCTGTAACACTGATCTTCCATACACACTCCTTGGAAGGCCTGTAGTCGTCAGGGTAGTTTGGAGACTGGATCTGTCCATTTTCTCTATTAACCTCTCCACCACAAATGGCTGCAGGTAGCGGGGGATGATAATAATTACTATTTATACACCACAAATGCAAGTAAACTCACTCATTACATTGTCAAGCCCTGCAACAGGAAAGTTGTTAATTTGTTTTTAGGTAATACACAGTATACTTCCCTGAAAATGTTTGATGCAAAAGCACCTCTTAATATGCAAGAGGCTGAACATATATTTTTTTATTATTATTCTTTCCTTTGAACGAAATTAATATTTTTCACGTCACAGACTTCGCCTCACAAGGCCTCAATTATAATGAACAGGGCCAAGTGAATTTCAAATATTCCTGTGTGGCACCTTACACAGCATACGCACAACGAGTGACATGTGGTGATCATTGGTTTCCAAGGACCAAAGCTAATTAGAAAAACAATCAATGATGCACAAGGGACTCAAGAGTACCAATTATGTGGGATTAGAGGGAGTCTACTGCAGCGATGCCATTACATTGCTCATTTGTTTTGTAGCTGGTTCCTTATCAATTCACAATTTTCTTTTTTACAAAAGGAGGCCGATTGTTGACGAAGAAAACTGTAACAGTCCATAAAAAGAACACAACTTAGACCATGTGGAACAGGTCTTTAATACAGGGCTGCCATCAGCACTTCATATGTTTCTACCCAACTATATGTAAAAAAAATCATCGTTGCATACACATAAAAGACATTCAACACACGATACAACAAATTATAACAAAGCTCTATCTAGCAAAGGAAAATTATTCATAGAGCGTGACGAATATTTTGTGCAGTGAACGCATCCCCATGCTGATTTGAATGACCTAAAACCTGGCTCTGGCAATGCTGATAAAACAACGAGGAGGGACGCTGCTCGTTGAAAAGCAGATTATGAATTAATTCGAATCTGCTTGGTGAACACAAAGCCGAGACACAAAGGCCCCCACGGTACTGTCCGAGGCAAAATCAGCTCCTCGTTGCAGGGTTTTCTGTTGTGTGTGGTGCTTTGGCTGTTTCTGCTGCAAGGGGAAGACAATAACTTAGGCTTTCAGCCGGCTGTCCATCTTCATCGAGTGGATGGCTGGTGGTTGAGGAAACTTTTATTCTGCATATGAAAGGCCAGCCAAAAAATAAAATTAACTTTTCTCTTTTTTGATCATTGTATAAATACCCGTGAAGCTACGTTGGCAGATGAAAATACAATATATGTGGAAGAGTTATGACGAATGGCACCTGCAGGTTAAGCTGCCACGAGATGTTACACAAACATTTTCAGTAGCCGAAGCAAAAGGCCATCTCCAGAATGTGAAGAAAACACTGCTCGAGATTTTGGTCGTATTTTTCCAAATGTGTGGCTATAAAGCGTGCATGCGACGTTATCCTTTGGAGTGTTCGCAGGTAGTTAGCAGTACAGTACTTGCGCATATGATTTCAAGGGATGGTTGGTCTGCCCACAGAATTGTGAACACAAGGTGTGGTATATGCCTGCTCTATACTGCTCATTAGCAGCTATCAAAATATGCTACATAGTACTCTTTTTTTTACAACACACAGTTCTGATTTAAAATACACTTTGTGGAGTGCATGTGCAGCCAAAGTAAAGCACATTTTCCTTCACATCACCATGTTGTTAAATAAACTGATCAAACTATAATAACATGTTGAACAGGATTGTTTAATTGTTAAAAGAAAATAGCATTTAGTCCATCAGCCTGATTTTTTTTTCCAGTTTGACATTTCCCAGCTGTATTTATTTAAATATGGAAAATTTTAAGTAGTTTTGACTTCATTGAGTCTCTTCAGCATCATATGACCCTATACTTTGTTTATTTAACCGTTTTACCTCGAAAATCTATTGAGATAGAACATATCACTTGCAAGGATGCCCAGGATAAATGACAGAGTTACACACACACCGTGCATCCCTGGCATTTAGCCTTCTCTGTATTCATAATAAAATCGTTACATTCAAGTTGCAGCAATGCAAAACTAATATATTTTGGGCCCAACATCATGGGGAGATTCTGTCTGTAATATCAGGATAGCCAGGCGATGTTAAATTATGAGGCCACACATCACTGATGAGAGTCTTTAGGACTGAATCCAATCCAGGGTTGCATGGTTGAAGCAACATTTTCCTGGGAAATGTTAATTTGGATATGTCAATGCATTAAATGTGATTCTCTTAGGTCTACGAAGCAAACTCTTCATCTACTCACACTTAATGTAAATATTTTTTTGAAGTAGAAAACACACTCTGTAAGCATGTCTTAGAGGTGGACATTTCTTGATTTTAATCAATTGAAAAATCTTCGTTTAATCGATGTGATTAAGAAAAACACCCATCACACTCCATTGAGTTTACAGTATATCTCATCTCGGTTCCCCATTGCGTTAATGTCCAGCCATTTGTGGAAATCCTAGAGGAAGTAATGCGTGTGCTTATTTAATTACGCCTTACATCGAATGCGAGCGGTGCACATTTAAAAGATGCACCACCTGCGTACGTCTAGTGCAACTCAAAAAACATTCACTGTCGATATTTTTAGAACTAATTATTCTAAGCTAACAGAATACATGCTATGCGATTTTAAAAGGCTAGCATTACAGTCTTAAATTCCTTTTAAGAGTCGGCAATAATTATATTGATGCCATTTAAATGCTTTTTACAATGCAATAACAAATATGCTCGTGCCTTTTTTACAGAGCCACTTGATATTGATATTAAACGCAGGCACGATCCAAACCAAGCATGGATCATTTCCAATTCCTTCATTAAAATGTGCGCCTTTCCCTTACTCCTTGGCTCCGAATTCACGTGAAATACATTCCCAGCATAAAACTACCCCCGCTTATTCTAAAGAGCGTACCATCGAATGGCACACATAGAGATGCAAATACAAACCGTGCGGTTTGTATGTTGGTCGAAAAATTGTGATTAAAAAACTGTAAAATCGAAACTCGAAATTTACACACAATCTCTCAATTGCGTTGATCCTGGCAAACACAGCTGTACAGCATCACAACAAGGATTCAGTGCAAGCATCACCCAGAAGAAACAAGCTCACTCTACGGGGCAGCTAAACGTCATGGTTAATAGGCAACAGGTATTTGACGAGTGGCCGTACGTGCCTGCATCTTTGTGTTATTTTTTTCCTTGTTTCATATTTTACATTAATACAGTTTACATATTTTCGAAAGCGCCCGTCATCAGGCATTGGCAGATTTTGCTGGACAACTGCAATGTTTGTGGAAACAAAGAATTGCATTTGATTTGATTGGCAAACACACTTACATCCAATCAAACCTAACAGCAGACAGGTATGATATGTACAGCACCAATTATGTACTTTATTTTACAAACATTGCATTTATATGCCTGGCATGATTTTATTATTTTAGGCAAAATGCACATCTTGTGGGTATACTTATGTCCATGGACAAAGATCATACGTTATTCGTTGCAGACTCTAGGGGCAGGTGCTGTTGGCAAGCGCTACGCCAAAGCTGGTTTGGTACACAAAGGGGTGGTGTGTTGCCAGTACCCGATTGCCGATCCTTACACCCTGCACTAGATACTCACTCAAGGATGATTTGAGTTAAAACGGACCTAGGCCAGCTTCAGATATCACTTAGTTTAATTTATTTGCCACTAGTGATGTAAATCACAGCCAGGAAATGAACACATTCCACCGGGATCTTAGCACGCTGCACGAATCACCAACTCTACCCCCGCCAAGCTCATGCACGTATTGCTTTCACGTTATGAAGTTGTGCTCTACGTATACGCCACACGCAGGCTATTTTACTGGCTTCACCGCCGACCGTGCACCGCACGGGGCTTGCGCGGAGATGTGCGCGGGCATCGTTATCTGTCATACTGGTAGCGCTCGTGCGGCACGGCGGTGGGCTCAGACTCGACTGCCGCGGGGCCGCCCGTCCCACCTTCATACGCCGCCGAGAAGCCGCGTCCCACCCAGTTGCTGCTGCTGCGGAACTCAATCCACATCCACGAGCTGGTGGAGACGAGCGGCTCGGGGAGCTTGTCCCCGCACACGCGGCCTGCGCGCACCGGCACACGGGGGTAACGGGAGACACGGGGGCATGGGAGGGGTAGGAGGGAGGGGAAGAAAGAGGCATAAGGGGGACAAGGCAGGCCGGCCCACGTGTGAACCAAGAAACCGTCAGGCCATCCTTTCTGAGGATCCCTTGTTTTTGACCAGCGAGACACAAGTCGGAGCTGAGACGAATTCAACAGAGGCTTTCTATGCTCAAATGAGCATCAACCGGTGGGTTATATGTTGGTGTTTGTCGAACAAAATTAATGTGAAACTCTTCACATTGAAAACTGGCACATGGTAAACACCGCTGTAAAGAATTATGGCACTGTATTGTTTTCACCCTTTAATATTTCGACCTTTATCCCGCATGTTCCCCTTCTTGGGGCTGTGCAGCACAGGAATTAGATTTTTTTTGATGTGGTGTATCGAAGATCTAAAGCATGGCTATTTGTTTAAGATTTATAGCACTGGCATTTCCCCCCACGGCGGAGACCATGCGACCTGCAGAGGCTGCAGTGCAGGAGATTCAAGATCTGGTTTGCTTGCTTCCCGTACTGGACCTGAAGTAACCCAGATGCCCCCCCCCACCCCCGCTACGCCACAGCCTGAATAACACCAGGTTGTACCGTGACCTGAGATACGTGTGTGAGGCCAAAACGTTAACCAGTGCATTTGAATGCCGGGCACGTTGACCCAGATTCGCTCTCTTCAAAGCCAACCCTGGGATTGGCCTTGGCCTTTGCCTAAACTCAATGCATAACACATAGCAGGGAAAGAGTCCGGGAGCGAGAAAACCGCCACGTCTATATATCCATATTCAACTCAAGTGTGGTGGTGGTGGACATGTTTTAACGAATGCATTTCAGCCTATCTTCCCCCTGGGATCGTTAATACGAGTACACCTCACATGCAAGTATGCTGAACTTCGTTCGCACCGTACAGAGCCAACCGTGCTAATCGGAAGTGCGGGGGAAGGACGACAAACTAAGTACAAAAAGCGGTTCTAAAGGGATGAGTTTTCAAGCTAGAATTGACTCGCACTCACCATAGTCACGTGGAATTTCCAACACTGGCTCAGGACTGTAAAAAGGAGATGGCCCCAAGCACACACGCAGTACGTGCTGCTGCGTTCTATTTGTGGCCGTGTACATCCATGGCAAGTGGAATCTCAACGAATCCTGGCTCCTCACCTCGGTTGCCTGGGCCTCAAACGATGACCTGGCATGGTGGGTGAACCATCAGCACCGCACAGGTGGCTGTGCTCACTCTAAACAGCACTTACCCCTGCACTCCCCAAGGCTCAATTGGGGAACTCCGTCTCTGGGGTGTGTATTCGTATGCTTGTAATGATATGGGGGGGGGGGTACCGAAGTGGTAGAGATGACTCCACCACCGATAAAAAAAAGTGCAATCACAACTGTGCCACCGGATAAACTCACGCACAGGGATCTCCCAACCCGCCGTGAGGCGGTGCTCCTTCGCGCAGTTGAACGAGCGGCTTCCCGCACACTCCCGTGTCCGTGTCTCAACGCCGAATGTGGACCGACCCGCGGCAGCCAACATTCCATGGTCGAAAGAGGACCCATGGAAACCGTGATTGCGAAGTGACCCAGCAAAGTCGCCCGCAGCTTCCCGGTGGCATCGCAGTAAGTAGGGCGGGGTAGCACTACCGCCCCGCTAATGCCGAGGTCGTTTCTCAAGCCGGCCGTCAACCTTTCTTGCGCTCGCTGGCCGATGTTCAGAACGTTAGGAGAGCACTGGCCGTGTTAACTGGGTGGCTGGTCGCCTACCAGCAATGGCCCTGTTATTTACGCCTATCTCTTTGCATGCCTCACTTCAATTCAGGAATCGACCTCCCGAGGCGCTTTACGCGTTGGTAGGACACACAAGACGTTGTTTTTTTTTGTAGGGGTGGGTTTGCACACTTTAGAGAGAAACAAAGGAAAGGCATCAGCCCCGTAGGGTGTACGTGTCTAAAGACGGGGGGGGGGAGGGGGGGGCTTGTGATGACTTGGAGCAGAGGGTAGGAGAATCTGTATTTAAAGGCCATAGACTCATGACAATCCACTGTCCGTCATTGGCCATACTTCACCGGTTCAGATATCACTCACCACTGGTGTTTAGCCATGCCTGGGAATTAAGGTTACGTTACCAGTTTTGGCATAGTATTGTGCAAACCGCTATACCACCACTCCCCACAACATTTGACAATTATCCACCAAAAATTAGCAAATTGTATCTCTCTGTAGCTATGTGCGAACGCTTGCAGGCGGAGTTACGCATGTAACTGGATTTTCACCAGGTTAAAGGAGTCTAGATTCAATACCAAGAGTTATATTTGAGTTCGCATTGCGCAGGTGCTCGTGAGCTGTACGGTTCAGCAGAGGTTATTACTTTCACACAAAAAAACGTGCCACCCACGTGTCTGCTTAGTTGTTACGATACATTGAGGAACTGCTCAGCCCATGCCAAGCTTTGTTGAAGAACTGGCAACTTGGGTGGCAACTCTGAAATTGTACTGGCACAAGGTAAATGAAATAAAAGTATAACAATGTAATCTACGCTTTGATACCCATGTTTTGGCTCTTGCTAACAATGTGTGCCCTTTGCTTTATGAAGTGCACAATCCACACAGCCAGCAGCTTTGCATTGCCCGTGTGTGGTGGTGCATGTCTCATTTATAAGACATGGTAGCTTGATTGGTGACTCACGCAAGAATGAAAACCATGGATGGATTGCCTGTGCTAGCAACAGCTGTGACGTGCGTAACAAATCCACCTGCTGGGTAACGGCCTTGATACCGAGGTTCCTGTAGAGGGGGCACAGCAAGTAGGTTCATAGTATTCCTGTGTGGAGATTATTCCCTTGTAAACTATGTGTAGGTTTCACTCGGCACTCACATTTCTTTCCAGATGTGAAAATACTCAACGAGAAATTGGCCACACATACCATCCAGGACCCTCCTGAGTAAAATACTTTTGCTGTAAAATATAATTTTAAAAACAATGAATTGTACCATTTTCACTTGATTACTGTTGATTCTTGGAACAATAATTATTGTAACTATAGCGAGACCCTGCTCAAAAAACGTATGGACGCGTTTCATGAAAAAAAGCAAAACGAAGCCCTAGCCGGAACACACGTCCAGGTGACTCGTTGACTAGAATTTAAACCAAACACACCGATGGAATGTTTGGTTATAAGATCACGGCCATGTGAAATTCCCTACTGCCAAGAATTTTCTTCCATAACCGTTTAAACATAGGGGTTTTTTTTTATTTTGCTTAAAATATGCTCCCCAATGCATCCCCAGTAACCTAAACGTTTGCTTTCAAAGTTTTTGGCACTTAAACGTATCGGACCAGTATGACATAATATTGGAGTGCAATTGAATTGTATTGGAAAGCGCCGTTGAATTAAATTCGCACCGTTAAATTATTTGGATTTGTTCTTAATTTATTTTATTCGCAAGGATATAAAAATTTCCACTGACATGTAGCGTGTACAAGCATGATTGCTCACTTGTTGCTATTATTAAAGACAGTGAGTGTCTGCACGTGGATCTTCCTCGACTGAGATTATCAAAACCACCTCAAAGGCTATGACATTCCATCTACATGGTCTGAAGGCAAAATGACTCGTTGTAAATAGTGCCCACTTAACACGTAACAGCCACAATGTTACCCTTCAGTGTGTTTATTACTGAACCACTCGACATGGGGCCAACGATTGTAATCCTACAGCCACCAAATAATCTCAACAGAAAGCTACAGCATGCCCATCCACTTACTGCAACCAACTGTAAGTATGGTGAAAATGCATGGACTGCATTGACAGCAGTTTACACAAAATAACTGCACCAATGTTTTCATTAATGCTGACATAATAAACAATAATGTAATAGGCGAACATATTTCCATGCGTTACAGGGCAGCGTGTGTGTGATAAGATTAAGTTAGTTAGGAGTGTTTTAATTTTGTTCGTAAAAGGACAAGATATAGAGGCTGTTGCAGGCAACCTCCTTTGGCGCCACGACACTTTACCATCGGTTCCTTCTGCTCGATCGCACAGCTGTTGTACACCAACACCCAACCTCTAAAGGTATGCTTATACAGTCTCCCACCATCTGGCTTTGGGCCGTCCCCTTGGTCACAGTTTTGATTTTTGCCTGCAAAAAAAATGTTCCTGCAATAACTGTGCTTATGCAGCTATACATTCCAGGCAGCACGTGACCGCACTGTAGTCAACAAATAACCCCTGTCATATGTACTGACATTGAGACGTGGATCACGTGAGCAGAAGGATGGTTGTCCTAATATACACAATAAAAAAAAATCCCACATCTAATGGGAGAACACATGCAGATATGTCTCTCAGCTGGAAATTATTGGGAAAGCCCTGCCAGCAGCCTGGCAACCATAAGCGCTAAGTTCCACTTCGTCTCATACACGAGCCGCAACAAAGTCTTATCCTCTGCACCAAGTACTGCCTTGCCGAGCTCCTCCATTCCACGTACGCACATCCCAGCCAAACGGAATGCGACCCATCCAAAGTACCAGCCTGCCGCCCTTTTCTAAGGCGCAACATTCAGGTGATTGATTTACTCTGCGAGATGAGATGTGGGGGGGTCACGGATGAGCTGATAGGAGGCCCCACACAGTTTTAGCTGCTGGTCTCCTCCTGCATGCAAGCCTGTGTCTAATATTGTCCCTCTTTCTAAAAGGCACCACCATTCAGTTTGCAACCAAAACACAGCATCGTCTCTCTGCAGTTAGGTTATCTGTGGGCTGCACAATCGACGCTGATCACATCTATCAAGTTTTCTTGTCATGCTCTCTTTTGAATTTACAAGTTTATTTTTCTCTCCAAGAAATTTCCACGAAGCTTGATGTGAAAATTACCCACGACTAAACATTTCACAATCTAATGAAGTGGCATGGTGAGAGAAATGTTCAAACTTAAAATCCTTCATCGGCCGTCATTTCAGCCAATCGTCTCTCTTAGGTCACTGGAATTAGTACTACTTTGTGCAAAGCAATGTCTGTAGTAATCTGGAGAGATTGGTCCCTTACATAGGAATGTGGAATTTGCATCAGGCTCAAGATAAGTTGCACTTGATGTACATTTCAGTATGGGGACATATGGCAATGTATGTGTTTAAACGACACAGTGAATGCACAAACTGTACACATCTAAGTTTTCCATAATTTTATTCGTAAAACTGATAACGTGTCCCAATGGGTTGTCACCAAATTAGAAGGGTATTGAATTCATGAATATTCGATGCATCCCCCGATACGTTTGCCTTTGTAGAAGAGAGCCCAACACTCTCACAGTGTCCCAGTGGGTGAAAATGTGAATATGATCAATATATTAAAAATAAATTGCCGTGATAAAAAATATATATAAATAACCCATGCATGTAACACAGAAACATTCATCATGGGACCCCCCTTGCCAAAATATAAGAATAGGTTTTACCCTTTTTTGCAATAAAACAGGTGTTAAGATGTTAAAACACCAAACTGCCACCTTTTGCAAGGAATCATGTCTGCATTAACCACATATACTTGTGGTGAACATGCAAACAATCCTGGCAAGGGGGGTCCCATGATGTAGCTGCTCAACCCCGAGCTCTCAATGTCCTCTGGTCTAACACTGTTTGAGACGAGGCTCTAAAGAAAGCTGTCTCTGGTGTAGACCCTTCAGTTTCAAAGACAATGCATATACAGGTAGTCCCCGACTTACGATGGTCCGACTTACGATATTTCGATTTTACGATGGCGATAGCGATATGACAAAATTGTAAAATATTTTTAATTGCGCGCGGCAGGCAAACGCAGCAGCGTACGAGGTACGATACTGTAACTTTATCATCGCCATCCTCCTCTTCCGACAACTAAGTTAATGTAGCCATCAACAACCTAAACATCGTTCAAGTATGCAGACGACGGACAGAATCTTGGTGAATACATTAGAATGATACGTTACGATACGTTCAATGCGTGTATGATACATAGCTTTAGCGATTTCATTTTATGGTTACCACGATACGATACATACGTTCAATGCATGTTAAAAGTTTTTTTTTATAGCAGATAGGATTGTTTCCTGTAAAAACTTTCTATGAAATTGCAGTTCATATAGGAAGGCTAAGAATTTACCTTGTTTTTTACTTTAAATTTTACTGTGCAATACAGTATTGTAATTAATAAATACAAAAAGTATATAGTTTTTTACAGTAGGGTACCGTACATTGCTCTGTTTTGCTAAATTATCATCATTCTTTAAGACTCCTGGGTAGGCTAGGGACATTTTCGACTTACGATATTTTCGACTTACGATATTTTCGACTTACGATGGGGGTCATCGTAACGCATCTGCACTCTTTGGTTCTTTCGGTAAAGTCACGTAGACAGAAACTAAATAACAGAATACGACATGTCGATTGCAACACAAGCAGTCGTCATCAGGTAGAAGTAGATTTGAGAGAGAGACAAAACTTAGTTCTACCTGATGACGACTGCTCGTGTTGCAATCGAAACGTAGCATTCTATTATTTGATTTATTTTCTCTCTAAGCGACTTTGCCGAAAGAACCAAAGAGTTTATTCCTGCAGTCACGAAAGCTTCAAATCAAGTTTACAATGCATATCATATCAGAGCATTTTTTTTGTTTGCATGTTCACCACAAGTATATGTGGTTAATGCAGACACGATTCCTTGCAAAAAGGTTGCAGTTTGGTGATTTAATATCTTAACACCTGTTTTATTGCCAGAAAGGGTAAAACCAATTCTTATATCGAAACATTAATTTCATATTAATAGCAAAATATTTGTATTTGCCCTTATTTCTTAAGGAAAGCTTCTATTGGCCTAAAAAATGCGGCTTCTTCATTCGGATGCTTGCTTATCACTGAATGTTGCTAAATCTACATAAGCAGCTCAACTAAAGATTGGCGTATCGACTCCATTCCTTAGATTAAAAGACACTAAACAAATAACTCTGGGACAAAGATTCCTCATCCAGGCTTATCGACCGTCAAGAAAAGTAGCGTTGGTGAGCTGAGGTTAACGCCGGCATTGAATACGACTTGGTAGTGTGGCCATCCCCTCTTCAAACTGCCTCTTTGTCAACCCAAGGCTAATGTATACCTACATTCAACAGGTACCGATATAAGAGTTGAGTTTCTTAAAATACATAATATGGGGGGGGGGGGGGGGGGGGGGAATCCCTTGAGATGGAACGTATCATTTGCAAGGGTGGCCAGGGGTAAGAGAGCAGATTACCTATGGCAGGCCTAATTTAAAAAAAATGTTGAAATGACACTCAACATTGATGTTGCACATGGCCGTGAATTCAACTCAGGTGATTTAAATCACAGCACTACGGTGCTACCCACCGCCTCCAACTATCCCCACTTGCAAACACGCGTACGCACACGTGCACACACGCACAAAGACAAAGATCCCCCGCATACCCTTAACAGACTGTTGGGGCAAGTGCTGTTAGCGAGCACCTATGAAGGCCGGCACGGCGTACGAGGGGATGGGTGGCCAACATCACGCCCGGTCGCCTTTGTCTCCCCAGTGACGATGTTTACACACCGCACCAGGTACTCATTTGAGGCTGAGTCGACCTAGGGGAGGCCCGGGACCGGTTCAGATAATTGTCACTGGGTGTTGGCCGTGAGCGGGAATCGAACCCGGGTCGCCAGGTTCGTAGCGCAGCGTATCGCTAACCGCTACAACCACCGCTCCCCACACACACACGCGCGCACACACACTGGGTGTCTGCCCGCCTCACCTTAAATTTGCTCACACATTGTGACACCGCTAAATACACCGACGCCAACATTTGTTAAGCGTGTCGCACACACCGCTCAACAAATGAAGCTCAGTGTGAGCATCAATCAGCAGCTTTTTCCAATAACCGTAATGCCGGTAACCAAATAGGCTTAGAGCTACTCGCGTTGCCATGCGCTGCACGTGATCCGCGGTGTAATTTAGATACTTTGCGTATTGGTTGCATGTGTGACCCCTGCTCCGCCAGAACAATGGACGCAATTCCACACATCATGATCCCTGCAAATCAGCACGTTAATAACGTCTACAGGGCGGCACGTCACAGCCAGTGAGACTAACGCTTTACAGAAAGCCTCATGTAAGAAGCCAGTGGGGTCTGTCTGCTAAGGCTGACGGAATGGCGTGTACGAACACTCGTCATCACGGCTGCACAAACATGCAGAGGCAGAGCTTAGGTGGCGAGACCTGGTTGCGTTCATGTGAAGTCTATTTTCCACGGATTCTGTCAATGCATTCGCCTTACGGATCTTCATTACGAGCCTTCATTCCGCGTCTTCCTTCGAGTGCTCAAGAGCTCATTTGAGTGTGAATGGCGAGGCAATTGTTTCCCTCCCTCTCTCCCTCTCGCCTTTCATGTGCATGATCTGATCCAGACTCTTTAAATGAGCGTGTGGACCGAGTGAGTGGTGAGCTGGACATTGGAGCCAGGTCAGCGTTCTGGTCTTGAATGTGTTTAAGATTATATTTAGCACTTCAACTGATTGTTGAAGTTGTCAATACCTACCTAGGTATTTATAACAATGTACCATATACAAAATAGAGCTTTGCTTACTTGCAAAGGCCTGCAATTCAATTGGTTTCAGGGACTTTATTGAAAAGTAATAGAAATGGAATTGATTACTATTAAAAACGCAAACTTGCATTAAGAGGAGCCAGCTTAGGGTATAGTCAAAGCTACACATATACAGGCAACGATCCTGTATATGTGCTTGGTTGCTCAGTGTAGAGCCTACACCTGGCTGCCTTGGGCACAGGTAAACTAGGCCCTCCCTTCGTGAACACTATGCTGGAATCAACATTGGAATCCGGCAAAAATTTTCACAGACTTGGCATCAGCAATGCGTTTCCATGGCGATTCCACGAGGCCGAGGAGGCCCCACGGGCCCTGCTTCCTCGCCTGAACACCATGCCCAGCTGAGAATGAAATTGCAATTCCTGGAATAGGAAAAATCGACCAGTTCTAGATATAATCCTTAAAAATTGTTAAAATCTAATTATTTCAGATTTAATTTTGAAATTCCCAAAACCTTTTCAGGACTCGTCATGAGGTGAAATGACCGCTATTGCACCAGACCTGGCTTGCAATGTAACAGGGGGATACATTAGGAGCATGCGGCTCATGAAAGTGTAATGCGATATCGTATATGTATTTTCGCACGCGACAAAGACAAAGATCTCCCAGTATAGCCTTAACAGACTGTTGGGGAAAGTGCTTTTAGCGAGGACCTATGAAGACTGGAATGGCACACGAGGGGGTGGCTGGACAGCATCACGCCTGAACGCCTTTGTCTCCCGAGTGGCAATGTTTTTACGCCTCGCACTAGGTGCTCAATTGAGGCTGAGTCGACCTAGGGCAGGCCCATGACCGGTTCAGATAATATAATCGCTACTGGTGTTGGCCGTGAGCGGGAATCGAACTCCAGTCGCCGGGTACGTAGCGCAGGTGCTCGCTAACAGCACTTGACCCAACCACTGCTCCCCACACGGCAAATCATCTCCCACACATGTCCCTCAGTGGCCAGACCCTGAGCTCGAACAGGGCTCATCTGTAAGCGCAGCACAAGTGCTGTATCTTACCCAGCAAAGGGGCCTTTCTCCAGAAGCCGTCCCTCACTTCGATGTAGTCGTACCAGCAGAGGCGGCTCTTGAACACGTCCAGCGAGGTGAAGTTAAGGGTGATCTGTGAGAAAAGACAATTGAATGGAGCACATGCAAGTGTTTATATCGCCGTGTAAAATTCCGCGGGCCGGTGTTGAGGCGAGAGTTGCCACTGGTCCTGGTTTTCCCTGAGTCTTCAGAACCCGTCAACTTGACTTTGATTGCCAGCCATGGCTTGGAGTGATGGGCCTCGTCGTTTATAGTGCGTACTGAGCTCCGACTACAACACACGCAATATTTATAGGCAGGAGTAGGCAAACCTGCAGCTCCAGAGCCACATGCGGCCCTTTAAGGACTGCTGCTTTGTGAAGTTATTTATTAAGGACTACCACCGTCTTCGTATTCACATTGCACTCTTGAAATGGGGGGGGGGGGCGGGGGGGTTAACCAATAAAAAATAATGCCTCTTATTGTCATTTTGGTTGCCGAGGAATCTAGAATAGGAAGATCCTGCGTATAGATGTGTGGCCAAATCCTTTTTAAAGACTCGGTGAGGATATTTTTCCCGGTTTAATACGTGGCAATATTATTATTGGATGATAACAAACAATAGTACGTGCCAGTCTGTAGGTTTAAGTTGATTTTATTCTTTGATCAGATTTATCTCGTTTCCTGGATATTTACAAGAGAGATCCGTGTTGGTACAGAAGCATTCATTGCAATAACATGCGAATAAAAAAACAAATCGATTATAGCCTGTAATCCACTGTTATCAATCAGTGTTGTAATGTTTTAACAGTATTATGAAACAAATTTGACGTGAATTATAATACAAATTTTGCTTCATCTCACAGTACCACTGGTATTGTTTAAATCTTACCCAGTACATCTGGACTTTTTTGCATTTACAACTTTTTAACATATGCGACAGCTATTTAATATACAAATGCTATTTATTATACAAATGTTATTTAATGCGAAACCATCAAGCAAATAGATTTAACAAAACATAATCCGCTGTCTTTTTCTTTCCGTATTTGTAATCACTGCCCCGTGTTTCAGATTACGCATTTCTTTTAATATAAAGGTTGACAACTATTTATGGTCTTGTTTCCGATGCAAATCCAGCGGTGGCTCTGAGCAGGATTAATCCTGACGACTCAAGAGAATGCATTGTCCCCGCGCGATTATCAGCGTGCAAACACCTGTCACCGATTGTAAACATCAGCGCACATCTTTCAACAGCACACCCAGCACCAAACGCGTTTGCCGCTGATATTGGGCGGATTTTTTATAGCATTCGGCGACTCAAAATATTGCTTTTGTTTTTTGGATCGTAATACGCGAAATCAAACAAACCATCATTAAATTGGGTTCAACATCTTCTTTGGAGAAAATGCCAGCTGAATTTTCCTGTTTAAAAAGCCCTTTGTAGAGCTACAATATTACATTTAGATGCATGGCATGGTTTAGCTCTCCATTGTGTTTTCATGTTTGTAGCGCGTCTTGTTCATTATCCTATTGCACTAATAATCCCGAGGCTATAGAGCCGCCTAAATAAATATATATGCACACTGGTGCTGCATCGTGCAGTGTTCCATAGGAATCTAATCCGAGGGGCCTCATACTTAATCCCCTATGGGACCGAAGGTCGACCCCACGGTAGACATTGATGAGGGTCACTGGGTTGCCAACAAAGATCCCAAAAAGGAGGAAAGTAAATATGTGGCTGGCGGTGGAAAGCCAGGTTACAGGGGCCAATCGAGAGGCGGCTCTATTACTGCAGCAGTCTGGGGAAATAACCATCTTGGCGGTGGGGGGGGCTTCCGTGAATTCACAAGCCGGACACACATCATTTAATAAACAAACCGCCGCACAGCTGGCTTGCTCTGCGGGGGATGGTTAACCCTAATAAGATTACCCTACGCATTCGAAGCACTGGGATGAACTCTTCAAATGAGGCAAAAAGCCAGTGGTTTTAAATGGTGATGTGTCGCAATTTTCATCAGCATGGCCCATTTAAGCCATTTGTAAAGAGTGTGAACCTACCTGCATGAAGGGACTTCCGTAAAGTTCCCTGTAAAATCCAAGCATCACTTGCTTAGCTCTCAAAATGTGAGTTTAACACGTAGGCTTGTGATTATAACAATGTAATCCAGATGTTGTCCGTTTTACTGTATGTAAACAAATCGGCATAATTCATATAAAGTCAGGTAATGCAATTCCCAAATATATTTGCTGAAACTAATTGTCACATTTGCAAAGATTTTCTACATATTTTTGTTCAATCAAAATTGATGTGGAAAGTGGTTTCAATAAATACTTGACTAAGGTCTTGCGTGCTCTTGTCCAAATCTACCGAGGCCTCGTGAAAATAACGTTTTCAATTGCTCCTTTTGAAAATAGATCTTTAAAGTGTACCAACGCTAACAATAGGGTTTTTTCCCCTTTTTTTCTGGCAACAAAACTGAAACCTTTTTACAAGGATTCATGTCTGCATTAACCGCAACACCTGCAGTCAAAATGCAAACAAAAAACATACTATGATAATATATGCATTGTCCTTGAAACTGATTGGTCCACACCAAAAAAAGGGGGAAAACCCTATTATTACATTTTGGTACTGGCAAAGGAGGTCTAAAGATGTACCAACGCTTTTAAAGACTACTGACAAAATCTGCAAAACACTTTTCAGAACATTACCTTCTTGTCCTAACTCTTTGCAACATCGCTAGTGGGCAAACTTGAAATATGAATGAAATAAAGCATGCATCGTGGTAAAAATGTAATGTATAACAATATGTGAGGCTCCGTATATAATTAATTTGGCCAATCCGATTTCTTGTGAATAGATTCACTGTGGCACAGCCCCTCATTGCTATATCCACATAAAAATAAACATGAGAAATTAATCAAATGTTATTAATTTGAAAGTATATATATATTTAAAGTCTTGACTTAAAAGCTCTCGTGACTGCAGGAATTCAAATTCTTTGGTTCTTTCGGTATAGCCACGTAGATGGAAAAAAAACCCAACAAAAATCAAAATCACGATGCTTCCATCACAACACAAGCAATCGTCTTCTATCTACGTGGCTTTAAGCGAAAGACCCAAAGAATATATTGTAAGTGTTATGTCTTATATCCACAGATGAGGTGATTTTCCAAAATACTTACGGGGTTGCTATAAACGCTGGAGTGCAATGCAGCTGAAAGTGGGGCTAAGTGCCTGAAATTGCCAGCAACCCATGGAAATTAATGGTCGTTTTATGGTAAGTGGCCATGCATAGCCGCAGGTTTGCTTTGGCCAGAGAGCTGGCCACAGTGGAAGGGCTTCTCGTCCACCACTCCCACTGCCGCTTCACACGCATTCAAATAAACCAGACGCCAATTGTCACTTGCCAACTAAAATCTTTAAAGCATTAGCTATGTCCCTCTACCAAGCTGTAATGCAGGGGGGGCAGTGTAATGCACGTAAAGATTGATCCAACGTGCGTGGAGATGTATGCAGAACTTTTTTTCGCACCGTACGTAGCCAACCGTGCTCTTGGGAGGTGTGGGGAAGAACAACAAACTAGACGCAAAAAGCAATTCTAAAGAAATTACTTTTCAATGTAGATTATTTAAAAAATGCGTAGTTCCAGTTACCTCCTAATATCGGAAGGAAGGGCATTCAAGACGGGCCGCAGAAAACGCATCTGAAAGCGCGCGATGTGGTAATATCTTCTGTTTGATGGCGAGCCAAAAGCCGCTGTGAGGATGACCGGGGTTCGCGTGATGGTTTATGCTCCTTGACGACATAAGCAAGGTGTTGTGGTTCATTTGTGGCAAGCACTTTGTTGTGTTACGAAATGGAGCGCGCACCTTCTCGCCGGGAGTGACGGAGATCTTCCACACGCAGTGCGAGTACGAGGGGTAGCCGTTGGGGAAGCCGGGTGACGAGAAGTTCCCGACCGATTCCTGCAGCGTTTCTCCACAGGCTGCAACAACAACAACAACAAGAATAAGAACAAGCACCGCCACAGGTTAATTAAGAAGCCATTCTTTTGCGCACCATCTCAGAAAGCATCGACTGCGATTCACAGATGCTGCCGATGGAGCTCTGTGAAGTGTCTGAAGCAAGTATTGCATCTTTTCTGAGGTGAACTGGGCATTTGATTTTAGGAAAGTGGAGACCGTTTTTTGTTTAATATATTTTTGTAATGTTGACTTTATTGAGAAATATAGTTTTCATACAAATTAGTAGAAAGCAGGAACAGTCGTACCAGGTTTAATACCCTCTTTCGAGTCTTTTGTAAAAAAGATAACATGCAAGATTTCCCTCTCACAGCTAAAAATCTTCTAATGGAGGGATTTAATCTGCATATGTATTCAAAGCAAATCACTAGAAATGTTACAGGACCACTCTCTCAACATAACTGGTCAACCTTGTGCTCCATATTGATCATACGGTACAACTCAGCCATACGTGTTTTCATAGTTTTTTTTACCAAGTTTCCCCGGGCACGGCAGTCCATGAATCAACCATGCTAACATTTTGTTATGATAGAAGAAGTTGCAGGTTAATGAAAGATGAGTAAGCACATCCAAAATAAAATGGGAATATTGCTGAAAGGTAAATGAAGATAACCTTTTAGCTGTGATGAGATCATTTGCTTGCAATGGCGCGCAATATACACAGGGCTAACTCCTAACAGATATTTAACCAATGTAAATTTACAACAGCGGGATGTTTAAAATACATAATGAATATCTGATTATCAGCAAGATGTTCAAATCTGCGGGTAAGTGACTGTCTTGACTCCAGTGTGACTGTATTTTACATATTATATGAAAATATAAGTAATTAATATCGAAAAAGTCATTTGCACGTTTAAGTTTGGTGAAACACATATGGAACTATGACTCCATGCCAGATTTTTAGTTTAAAAATATGTGAACAGTAATTTAATTAAAACAGTTTAAATGTTATTTTCATTGCCAAATAACTTCTTGGTTGACATATTTTATCAATATATTCGTGGCCAAAAGCAGACTTCGTTTTATGATCCACTTTAGCTTAAAACATAAAATTGTTATCATAAATAACACATTTATTCCATAGAGAATACACATTCATAGAACCTCATTATTTTTATGCTAACAAGGGAGTATTTAAAAGCATGTGTAAGCAGATAACAGAGGGTAAAAATATCCCACTCTGAATGTTGGGGTAAAGTATTGTTATAGTAAGCAATGATTCCGCCGTCTTTTTTTTAAATTTGCTAGTATGTTTATGTTCTTATTAAGAATAAAATATAGAGCTGACTTGCACCTGCACCTTACTTGTTTCTAGTGCCTCTTGCTCCGAATATTATGTTTGTAATTTGTTTTTTCATTAACATGTTTCGTGCAATATTCCTGAAGCACCCTGTACTCGTTCTCTTCAACATTGATGTTTTTTGTTTTATAACTGCTGCTGCTGTGCTCACGGCACCATGGGTCTCCCGTGTAAAAAAAAATAGCCACGGAACTGGCTAAATGGGACCCATCCTCGTAACAAAATCAAATAAAACCAACACTCAAAACTATTCAGGATGCTTTGGATGTAGCACGCACCACCAGCACCAATACCAGCCAATCACCACTAAGTGACGGTGACATCACCATGGTGCCTGTGCCAGGCCAGGTGCACTTTGAGGCCGCGTGAAGTGTCGAAGGCGCGTTGACAGGGGGTCTCGGGACAGCAAGCACGACACACACACACACACGTGTCCATCTTTGTCACCACCACTGTGGTGCACACAGCACACCAAGTCAAGTTTATTTGTTTAACCAGGTGAGAAGTAGTCACTTTTTAGTTGTTTGTGCTTTGTGTGTTGGTGCCATTTATTAATTCGTTAATTCATTTTTTTTGCTTGCTCATAGGGTTTTCATTTGCTTGGTAGTGGATGTATATTGGATTTGATCTGTGTATATATAATTAATGCACAGTGTTGTGGGACGCTATTAGCATGTAAAATTAAACATATTATTGAGAGCCCAGAAGAGTCTAATTTTGCAAGAGTGACCAGAACCCACATTGGAGAGGCTCATACGAACTAAATCATGGGACCTCCTTTGCCAGTACCAAAATATGAGAATAGGTTTTCCCCTTTTTTTACGGCAACAAAACAGGTGTTAAGATGTTAAAACACCAAACTGAAACCTTTTACAATGAATCATGTCTGCATTAACCACAATACATGTGGTCAAAAAGTATCGTGGTTAATGCAGACATTATTCCTTGTAAAAGGTTTCCGTTTGGTGTTTTAACATCTTAACACGTATACTCTTTGGTTCTTTCGGTAAAGTCACGTAGGTAGAAAAATATAATTTTTATTTTATTTATTTTTCTACTTACGTGACTTTACCGAAAGAACCAAAGAGTATGGATTCCTGCAGTTACGAAAGCTTCAAATCAAGATCTTAACACCTGTTTTGTTGCCAGAAAAAAAGGGGAAAACCTATTCTCAGGCTCATACGAAGTTCAGAATCAATTGGCCACCGATACCAAGGAATGAAACTCAGATTGTTGGAATTTTTGAGCAACGCGCTAAACCACCACCGCACCCCTGCTGACTTAGATGCACATGTATGGCACTGTGACAAGTGCTTACAATTGGATGTTTGCGAATACAATGCCTAGTTGAGAATCAATTTAGCCCATCATCACTTCAGGTTTGAAATACAATGTCCCCATGCTCGTTTGACTAGGCTGATATTTTGACTTTTGGCAAACACATCGAGGACATCCATATAAACGATACATCATGATTGCAGCCCTTTGTGAATCAACTCGTGGAGGGTGGTCTCTCTACGCTGTGTCAGTCGTGGGTGTCATTTGAGCATACATCACGGTGCTGGTCAGTGCTGGTTTGTTAAGTTATACACGCATTACAAAATTCAAAATGACACAGTTTCTTAGACCGCATCTCAGCCTGGGGCATGGTGACATGGCTGTGTGTTTCGTTTGCTCTTGAGGGCCAAACGAAATGGATTCTAGCAGCACACTGCTGCCAGTGACATTCAGCCAAGAGGGACCCTTTTGAAAGCTCCCGGTCAAGAGGTGCAAGATTCATCTTGCCCATCCACAGCTTACCTCCACCTCTCAACCCCTATCCCATTCCCCATCCAAGAGCTTCCCCCTCCCTTTTGTCTGCTGACACTTGACTCCCTGACCAAGCTGCAATTATGAAGCCAGTGGCCCCAGGAGCGTGGGTTTATAGGCTGCCATTGTTCAGACTTTTGCTTTCATTGGCGCTGTGCTGACAAAGCCACTCACCCCGCTTCCAGCACAAAATATCCCGCACTTCAAAGCCCATTTAGCGAACACAGCCAACAATGCGCACTCTGCCAAATTGCCTTCACCTTCTAGAAAGAATGTCATCTCCATGTTAAAAAAAACCTCCCACTCACTGTACCATAATGCCCACATGCCACAGAGGTACACAATAAAAATGTACCATAACCTGGTGAACCATGGCCATAACCTGACTAACTGACCTCAGCCCCAAGTCTGAAAATCATTGGATTCAAATAGAAGATATATGTAGACCGATTACCAATACACATGATACTAAGTCACTGGGCAGGCCAGTGGTCAGTTGTTGCATGGATTTTTCTCCGGGTCCTCAAGCTTTTTCCACCCACATTTAGAAGCATGCGTTTAGAGTATGTGGCTGCTATAAATTTCCACGTGACAAGCCACTTCGTTGAGTTATCATTTGCGGCCAGGTGGCTTCTGAAAAAGAGATATATAGCTCAGTGGGCCTTACCTGGTAAAATAAAAAATACTATAGTGTTTTTTTTATAGTTTGTTCACCAATGAACCAGTTAGTACAAATTCTACTGAACAGTTCCCACAGCAAATGACTAGGGACGTCATGAAAGCAAGTCTGCTGTAAAGAAGGTATTTATTACCCAGTGACATATTTCACATAATTCAGCCAGCGCAAGTTACTAGTGTTGTGGCTCAAATCCCAAAATTCAGAATGACGACATTTAACTTGGAAACAAAATCCCTTCCCCTGGAAGGGCTGGACAACCCTCTGAATGAGATGCAAAATATCAGAGGCCCCATCCAGCATAAATAAGACTGAAATAAAAAAAACAAAATTAGCAATTTCAGCACTTCAAGTTTCAAGTTGTGCTGCACAGGAAGCAATGGAGAACATTTCCCACGCAACATTGATTATAAATCAGTGTTTCGACAAATATTGGCCTCGCGGATCGAAGGCTGAAAAATCACCATTTCAAGAGTTGTTTTTCTAGTCTTTGGGTCTTTTGGTAAAGTCACGTAGATAGAAGAAAAGTAATAAAATAATAAAAAATCACGACGTTTCGATCGCAACACAAGCAATCGTATTCAGGTGAAAAATATAGCTATATTTCTTCCTGCCTCAGCAGTCGGCCTGCTGTATTTTTTCACCTGAAGACGATTGCTTGTGTTGCGATCGAAACGTCGTGATTTTTTTGTTGTTTTTCTATCTATGTGACTTTACCGAAAGACCCAAAGAGTATGAATTCCTGCAGTCACGAAAGGTTTAAGTCAGTTGTTTTTCTGTGCAATCGTCTTGAGTTTCTTTGGCAGAATCATCAGCAAGGCCGGCAGCTCGCACTAAAAAGCCATCACGTCGTGCCCAGCTACATAGTCGTTCGTGTTACTGAAGGGGTGAACAAACCCCAGGTTCAAGAAATCCAAGGGCTCTTTACAGAGAACATACGCGAGCGCCCCTTGACTAGACTTATCTACGTAACCGCTTTGTCTACATAAACCCACAATCTCTCCCTGGACTCTCATCTGGATAAAACACCAGAAATGCATTGCGTTGGTGATTTGCACTCTGCAGGTAATGAAGACATTGGAAATTGTTTGCCAAATATCAAACTGAACGGGACGTTCTGAATCGGACGCTGAATCTACTGGGCTGGGCCCTTGCCTTAAACCAAATCGACCCTA